GCAATAAATTTGTGAAAAGTATAAACATGACTTTAAAAGAGAGCCTCCTCAGTTGCTATGCGACGAACATTTTTTAGCAAATCTTCAAAATCATTAAATCTCTGTTTTAAATCTGCAATATTTACAACTACATGTAAATTTATTTCATTTGTTATTTTTCCAGTAAATAAATACATAAAAGTGCTGGAGTAAAATTTGCACAGGTTTCGCTGCTATGACAGAGCATAGAGCTTTTTATTTTGCGCTCTTGTTTGAACTTGTTGGAGAAAAAAATTGCCAAAAATCTTGACAATTATTTATATTTCAATGGTTAATATCGTCAAAAAGGTACAAAAACACGTCGTTAATTGATCTTCGTGCGTGGAAAATGTAAAAGAAAGGAAAGTTTTTCAGGCATCATTTTATCAACGCAAATTGAAATATTGTGGTTCAGCTGGAAAAAATACACAGCTCATGCCATGCTTTCCTGAACTCGGTAAGTTTATGGGTGACCCCCATTCAAAAAAATAAAACTGCACATCACCATTACACCAAAACAACTGAAGCATTTCACGGTTTGCCGTATACAAAAATTAGATGACTTACTGAGAAAGTCTTGTGTGTTCTGGCAGTCTATCGCTCCACTCAACAGGACCATTATTGTCTTTTTGAATTCCCGAAATAATTCCGGGTTTTTTCTTAGTCAAGATATCATACCTGTAGAAAAAGCAGAAATGACCACTGAGCAAACAACAGCTCAACAAGAAGCAGCAATTAAGATCAGTTTGTGAATATAATTTCCCTCACATCGCCAGTCGGTTCACACGACCCTGATAAGGTCTGAAAGGCAGTTTACCCGTGGCAACATGAAAGAAAGTAACACCAAGACTCCAAAGATCAATCTGGATAAAGATTACAGTGTAAGTGTAGTCTAAAATTCTTAGAATCTAGTCTAATGTAGTCTAAAATTCCTGAACTACATTAGCGACAAAAACAAATGGACTCGTCATTCCAATTTATTTTCTCATAGTAGCTATGTTTAGATTGTATAAATATTACAATAATAATTGCATGCATTGACTCTCAACAAACACTCTCTTTCTTCCTTGCATGAAAAAAAAAACAGAAAATATTTTGTCTTACATTAGCTCCAAATTGTTTAGGGGCCTGTCTTTTAAGAACTCCTCTTTCGTAAACGTCAGGATGCTAAAAAAATATTGTATTGAAAACAAACCCAAACAAAAAAGAGCTGACCATAAAGTAGGTTCCCGCAGGATCCTAATGGACGAAAGGAAACTTTTTAAGATTCTTAAGATATCTGTTTAATTTTCTAGGGAAATTTTAAATCCTAAGCTGTTTGTATCCTGTCATAATCCTGAAATGTCCAGAATCTAAATACAATCTTGCATTCAGGATCCTAACTAACAGAAACCGGGAATAAAATCTCGGAACATTTAGAAACCTAAATAATTTCAACAACACTTTCTTCTGGAGACGGAATTGAAATTAATTTGTCTTTTTAAGCTGATCTTACTACAGCTGTCAGAAGCTGAAATTTTTGGATACTAAGAAATGATACTGTAAGAGCTTACAACCCCCGACCGGAATCCCTTAAGATACTGCAGGATCATGAATCAGATTGAATATTAAAATTTAAAGATCCTATAAATCGAATAACGGAAAAGTCTCAGACACAAAGTTTTTGATACTAAGTAAAGTATACTGAACCGATACGTAAACATTAACGGCAAAGACAATTTTAATAAAATTTCAATACCAAGTATTCTTCCGTGCCGTAAACTGATGTGAATAGTTCGTCAGGTCCCAGTTCTCTCGCAGCGCCGAAATCAGTCAATTTGTAAATGGAACTGCGAAGAGAAATACGCAAAAGTTTGAGTTTTATTGCCATACTTTGAGTGGAGATGTTGAAATGACAAGAAGGAAGTAAATAATTATGATCACCTGCCATCGTCTTTGATATATCTCAAAATATTTCCAGGTTTTATATCGCGATGAATCAGTCCTTGCTCCGTAAGGTATTTCATTCCTGACACTAAGACAGAAATACATTATTTTAAAAAGACGAACTCAATTGTAATAGGATTAGAATGCTTCAAACGCATTAAATAGATATAAAACACCATAAATTTATACTATATATCTAGGGGTCACCGGAGGTCCAAGTTGTGCCAGAGCTGAGTCGGAGGCTCAGTACTTAGGAACTTTCTCCCATCTTCCGGAGACGACATTTCGATGCTTTTTGTCGACTCAGGTTAAAATGAATTATGGAGAAAAAAGTGTGGCATGTGCTGAAGTGAAAAGGAAGATGAAAAGTTGTCTAGAACTATAGTTAACGGAGTAGTGGATAGCAAAATAAAACTTAGTTTGAAGTGAGCAATAACTCTAAAGATTTAACGTGGAGAGGATTCAAACTAAAGTTAGAGCAATGTGAACTGTGAAGAAGAGGACTGAAACTGAGCGTGGTGCCGGAACCAGGGGGAGGGGGTTGGGGCTGAAGTCCTTACAACTTTGTATGAACGTAAAGTTGGGGGGTGAGCCCTCACCCCCATAAAAACCAAAAGTTTACACGTTTTCGTGATTACTTGAGAATTCTCTTTTGCTTGATAACTACGACTACGATGATCAATGGAAAAAATCTTTAGGTCTTTTAATGTAAACGTAAGTATATAAGTTACGGCTCTTGTTGTTGAAGCATTCTGATTGAGAATGAAAAGTCAAATGATTAAAAGTTTTATTGCCGTTTCTGAAGGGCTAGAAGGAGCATTGCGATATTGTACAGTTGGCATTGCCCAATAACTATAAGTTTCAAGACGGTACAAAAACTTTTTGATGGGAAGCACTTTAACGCCTCCACTCTCATAGTTGGGCCCTTCGTGCATTCAAACCTTCATTACCACAAAGATTCAGCTCCCTCCCAAACTCAAACCTTCCTTCGCTTATGGCGTGATTGGAACATATGTAAATGGAACATTGAGTTTGATAGGAACTGGAACTTCAGTCACTGTATTATATAGCCTTCAGGTGATGATAGTAAAGTGTTAAAGTAATGACATGGTGTTTAAACGTCTTTATTTTGACCTCAGTAGGAATGTTTAATGCAACCTCAGGTTCATTAATGCATCAAGAAAGGAATACTTCATATAACGTTTCTTCAATACACTCCCCACAATGCCTCCTCGAACGTTTCATTGCAAAATCTTACCAACATCGAAGACAACTTGTTTGAAATCATTTTCTTCAAAGCCAAAAGAATTTTCAGGTTTCTCCAGCATGTGAAAAAGACTTCCGCCAGAACAATTTTCCATTATTATGGCATGCTCATTGAGCTTGATCTAAAAGAAGAGATCTATGTAGAACCATATAAATAATATGGTTTTATCATATGATTCTCTTTTTTACACAATGAAGGAATAAGTTGCACAATATTACCTCCTTCTCAATTGCAATTACTTTGACAATATTCGGATGGTTGCAATCCATCAATTTCTTGAGTACATCAAGTTCTCGCTTCATTTGATATTCATAACGATTCATCCCATGAGTACTAAAGATTTTGACAGCAAAGTCCTTCCCTGTTTCCTAAAGCATTGTAATCAAAAAGTAAATCAGGTACACCTGCATGCCTTCTCCACTTCTTTTCCGGTTTTTACACAAGCAGACCTTCCAACCTCATAAATTTGAGAACCTTGAGATTTTAAATAATGCCTTGCTCAAAACTTGAGATTTGGTCATCAAACCCTGCAATATTCCCTTATACCCAAATATTTCCCCCGATAACCCTTGAAAAATGAAGAAATATCAACACTAAAAGTAATGGATAGTCTTAAACTTCAACAGTTAGTAGTTCTTAAGTTTTTCTAAATGGAAGTAAGAGCAGATGCCAAATATAGTCAAATCGTTGAAATTCTTTTAGGATTATCAACAGCAGTATCTTCTGTTTTGAAGAGCTTACTTTTTGCATATCTAACCTTAACAAAAAACATGCATTGTAGCATCAAAGGTTACTCTATAGTAATTATACATAAAATTATAATTCAAGTTAATCGAACAAAGAAAAAATGAGGAAAGCATAAGACTGAATACAGCTCTAGGTTGTTTTATTGAGATCATCATTTGTGCACTTATTGCAAAAATGTGCAAGATTTCGAGGCTAAACGGTAAGTTTGTGAGATGAGACCGAGAGAGTTGGAAGGTTGGCAAAAAAACCACTAAGCAACTGTTTGCATTTGTATGCGTTAGATATTTGATCACAGATCAAGCCATTGCATTTCATACCTTGTGCTGACATCGAAAAACACGACTGGTAGCACCGTGACCAAGTTCAACGTTATTATACCAAAAGTAATTTTTGCTTTCAAAACGATTTATCATTTCAAACATTTGACCTATGAGAGATAAATAAAATGTAAATACAGAGGTTGCTGATCGTATAATAATTACTTTCTCAGTATAACAATTATCTCATCTTGGCATAAAATTCAAGGTCATTACGGCTAACAATATGAACGGTTTCAATGAAGATTAATGGTAAACAGTAGCATGGCACCTTACCCTAACAGGCGCTATGCAAGTTTAAAATTTCAACAACTTCCTCAACTAAACTTCACACTACGTACAAGATTCCCTTCGAAAGACAATCAATCTAAAATTTCAAAATAGGTTAGTTCTACGTACAAACTTCGATACTTCTGTTTAAAGAAACATTTCGTATGTTCTATTATCCAAGAAAAACAATTTTATTTAAAGATACACTGAAAAAAGCGAAAGACTTAAATATCGTCAAGATGTAAACAAGTCATTGAAGTCAATATGTATTTTTCAATACGAAATTTCAAAGCATAATCTGGGTTTGTAGACTTAGCAAAACAACTGAGCTGAACACACCTCTTTAAAATGGCTGATGAAGCAGTTCTTTCGCGTTAAAATGACCAGGTTTCGACAAAATTTCAGCTACAACACAACAGACGAGTTGGTAGACATATATAACCGGAAGTTACATGTACCAAAAAAGACTACGTATTTATTTAAAATGTACATTCTAGACAAATTGTGTATTATATATTGAATATTGAATTCCTCTCACATTTCAAATTCTTAAGACGTAAAAACAACATTTACATAAACGCATCAGAGCTTTTTAGCTGTTCACACAAGCATTAAGAATTTAAATAGTTAAACGCGTTGATTTTACGTGCATATGATATCGCAGGGTAAAGTCAGTAGAGTGATGTAATTTGGTTTAAAATAACAGGGGAAGTCCCAGTAGTACCATACTTCATGTTCGCTACATAATTTGGAATAGTAGTAAGACATAAAGCTGTTTGTAGGGTACCATCAGGCGATATTTCTTATTTTCTTTTACGTTTAAAAACAAGTTGATATTCGGCCGAAAAATCTTAAGCGTTTCGGAAATAGATCAACACACCTTAGGGCTTAAACTGCAAAATATGTATAAAAAACTGTTACGAAACGCATAGAAAACGCTTTAAAAACACACCAAATGGTAGCTTGCAAACAGCCGGGTGAAATTCACCAGCCTGAACCATGTATTTTATAAATAGTTAGACAAATCTCTCAAATAAAAAAGGTTCAAAATCGAGCACTCTCATCCATTTTGAAGTTCACACCGATCATTGGACAACTGGCTTGAACCACTGTCACGATTTAAAACTGTTAAAAAACGCCTAAAAAATCGAAACAAACTTCATGGTAATTTTCTTGGATCATTGCATAGAAGCAGAACACATAAAAATTTCCTTCTAATCAAAATAATTGTTCCTGATATTAAGATAAGTCAGTTCTCTAAATCCATGATCAAAAGAAGAGGTGCACAAAAAGGTTGAATAACCCTGATTGCGCTTTAGTTTGGCTATTTCATACCAGCATCAATCTACTATTTTGAAATAGTGATGTTTGAATTTGAAATACTACCTTTAAGAAACTTTTAAATTGTTTAACGTCGTCCTGCTCCACATGTCGACAATACTCCTGATAAAATAAAAAAAAATACAGACGTTATGAGGTCGAGTACTACACATTCCTCGCGTATTAGTTCAACTACGCATGTACAATAATTGATCGTCAATATGTTCAGATCAATGTTTTCAACTGGATTTGTATGCCATGTGTTTGACGACGATAAAGTAAACAACCAACCCACCTGAGCCATTTCAGAAGTAAGATTGAGCGATGGTAAGTACTTGCTTTGCAAAAAATGAACAAACTGTTGACTCTAAAAGAAACATAACCACTGTAGCAGCCGTTGAAACACCAAGATTTTGCACAAAACTAACGCTGACTTAATATAACCGTACCTGTTTTTGATGAATGGTTTTCTGTACGATAGCAATTTCCTGTAGTGTCTACAATGAAATCAGAAAATGGAAAATATCCCGTAGCTTATATCAAAAACACATTATTTTTCGTAAAACACGAAAACATAAGTCAGCGAATCCCGTTAGACGTACAAGCATGGTTTGCGCGTCCGTCAGATCAAATTCGGGTTTGGATGGCGCCACAAAGCATGATGGGATAATGTTATTGGTGATGAAGTCTTGAAACGCAAGTGGACCGTTGGAGCCGTCTGAAGAGATTTGGATATAAGATAAATTTTGAGCATCGATATAAATTTAGATATTAAAGCAACAAATCACAAGATAACACAATTGTAAATAAAACAAAACAATCATATGAGCACTCAATATCGTAATATTCTTCTTACCCCAAATCTCAATGAGTTTCTTCAATATTCCGAAACAAGATTTCTGACACTACATTGGAATATTTTGCATAAATATATTTAAATTTATTCTGGACGGGTGGAATGAACTGACTCTTGCATCGCATATAAAACTTTGAACAGAACATAGAATCAAAGTTCATTTACAAGAAGCATTACTTTGGAAATGATCATTGAGCTAAATATAAAAAGTGGAAGGCCATCTTTGAGTAAAAAAACAATCCTAAACTTGCATTAAGAAAAATTTTACCTTGAACATTTTTTTGGGAGTGCGTGTGGAGATTGGGACTAGTTAAATTCTAGCTTAAATATTGACGGACGGTGGCCTGGCAGCTAAGTATTCAGTTCAATGAAAATCATTTAAATATCACGGACACACGCTCAAGACTATAACTTAATTTCCATTTGCAAGAAAATAATGAACTTACGACGGGGTCCGTAGCATCAACTGCGCCTTGAATTATAGTATTGAGAACCTCCTGAGTGTTCTGCGGTTCTGGAAAGATCACAAGGAGAAACGTCGAATTCTTACAGTGTTGCCATTCATACAGGAAAATACAAAAATCTTACTTACCTTGGTTGAGTATAACTTCGACGACGTTGTTGTTCACAAGACAGGTGATGAAATGAATGTAGCTGCTCTTTAACGACATTTTTTCTCTTGTTGCCTTCAAAAGATCATAAACATCAGCCGAGGAAAAAAAGAGAGCACGGAAACAAAATCTTCTACGTTAGAGCAGTTTCGAAACCTTTTTCAAAGTTTGTATTAGGATGTATGGGTGGGGGATGGATTTAATAAGGGAGAGGATTTATGTTAGAATGTATCAGGGATAGATTTACTAAGGAAGAGGATTTGTATTAGGATGTACGGATCAGGGATGGATTCACTAAGGAATGGGATTTAAACTAGGATACATCAGGGATGGATTTACTAATGAAGGGATTTATATTAGGATGTACCAGGAATGGATTTATCAAGGGAGGGGATTTCTATTAGAACATATCAGGAATGGATATTTTAAAGAAGGGGATTAGTATTAGAATATATCAAGGATCGATTTACTAAGGAAGGGAATGCAAAGGCCAATTTCTCCAAAAAGTCCTACAATACCAAGCAATTAAGCAAAAGCAATTGTAATTTGTGTTTAACTAAGCACACTTTCAAAAAAATATATGAAATCATGGTGCGTATGAGAGCAACAGACTAAGAAAAAAGTTTGACATGCCAATACAACACCAAAAAGTAGCCACAGAAATCTTATCCAAAATAAACCAACCACAATCATCCTTGATCCATTCTTGTCGCGTATGTGCGAGAAGAAAATACTTGAGGATAATTATGTATACCTGTGTATCAAGAGAGTCCGTAGGTCGACTGATAACGGAAAATATGGTACGTACAATCGGCATGAAAATTTCTTGAAGAAATGGAGTTATATGATTCTAATATTAAAAAAAATATGCAGTCGTTAAGCTCATAATCTCCAAAATGGAAAAATAGTGCTTTCTTAAGTCCAAGAGGGCATTATCATTGTTATGTACACACCTTAAATTTCGATATGATTTGGTTAATCAAAGGAATAAACTCTTGGATATCTTTGGCCTTTTAAAATGTATGCGGAGAATAAAACCAATGTTAACTTTCTTACATTCGAGAAACTACGTTAAGGGGCTGTTTACATGATCCCCCGGCTAACCGAGTTTCAGTGAGGCGTGAAATGATTTCGAGGTATTAAAAGGAGTCAAAACTTCAAGCGTAAAAATTACTGTTTATTAAGAACCACAAGTCATTCCTGTTGCAATTCTCAAATTAGGCCAAATTTGTTGTTATAATTTTAAATGTTTTGTGTTGTTATCAAACCAGAGAATTGTGAAATTGCCAGAGAAGATTTATCTGATGATGAGTATTGAATCGTTTCAATTTGCCAAAATCATTTATCGCTTGACTGAATCCCGGCAACCCGGGCTCATGTAACAGCCCCTAAATAAAATTTGACAAAACTTCTCCTCCTAACTTCAAAAGATGAGAGAGAAAAGATTTTGATGGGTAAATTACCTCTGGATCTTTAAGCAAATGTGTAACGGCGACGGGAATGTACGGTAAAACATCTTCGCCAAGACATATTATCATTCGATGAAGATATTGCCGCACGCCAGAGTGAATAAGATCTCGATGAATGCGGACGGTCAAAGCACGTAGGAAAACTGGCAAAATCTGTAATCGCAAGATTTTACCTGTTATAAACATCATCTCATGGACAGTCCGCTCTTTCATCTAACAATAAGCCACAAAGACAAGAAAGAGTTTAACAATTAGCTACAACGCACCTCCGAGAAACACGTTGAGCAGCCGCATAATTTCATAGTTTGTTGGGTTGAGAACGCCTTGCTTAAACGACTAGAATGGACATGTGAAAGTTTAGACAAAATCGAAGAACTAATGACGTATTATTTATGTGACTTGATCATTCTTGTGACAAAAACACGCCTCACCTTGCAAATGACGCCATGTGGAATAAACATTGCGCGTGAGGTAAGAACTGTTCTTCATTCAAACTACTTCTGTTTAACTGCATGAATACACAGAATAAAGAAGACAGAAAACAGTAAACTACAATACCTGCATAATTAACAGTGAAATCGAAATAAAACAGTGTACGTATTTCAAAAAAAGAGTATTCAATTATTCTGAAAAGCGACAACATGCATGTCTAACATTCCACCTTTTGTTGAACAAAGTAGATACAAACAACATTGTATTTACAACATATCAATACCGATACACTATTACATGCAGATGTGTAATTTACTATACAACATGAAGTAACATGTATAAGTGAATAAGAAGCTTTAGACAGTCAAGTGGGAAAAAGAGCACAATAGAACTCATCACAATGATTCTTATAAGTTTATATATAAGAATTTATAAATTTTATATATAAGAATTTATAAATTTATATATGTAAGAATGTATATTTACGTATATTTAAAGTGCCCCTTTCAACAAAAATTTTTAATAGCGATATTAAATTTAGGTGTGATTTTCAACGTATCAGTGAAAAAAGTTTTTAAGTTTGTCAAATCGTTCCATTTTTATTGCTTATGAAAGTTAGCAAAATGTTCCTTTTAACGGACCTTCGTTCGTCATTCGAAGTCTGGAAAGACTTACCTTTGTGACGTCATGCAAGGGATTCCTCAATACAAAATATATATACCAACTATCTTGGATGACGTCAGAATTTGGCTAGACCCAGACTTCATGCCACGACGGACAAGGTTCATTGAAAGGCAACTTTAAACCTCCATAACAAGAAGACGATTTGACCAAATTGAAAAACTTTTTTCACCGATACGTTAGATATTACATCAAGTTTTGATATCGCTAATAAAAGTTTTTGCTGATAGGGCACTTTGAGAATCGAAACAAGTTGTATGAATGAAATTTTCCAAATCTATTTGAGCCCGCGCAATCGAGTTATCAAGTGATAAAAATAGCGCCATCTTGCACAAAAACAAACCTTATCGAGGACTGCATTAAATCTTGTCACCAATGGAGTTAAAATACATCTCATGTCTTGCTCTTGTTTCTACAATACAAACGAGGAGAAAATGTCTTTCGATTTCTTTATTCTTTTTCTCGTTTTCAACGAGAGTCAAATAACTTTCTGCATCTTGTGGAAGATCTAAGTTTATATCTTAGCCAAATCATGACATCGAACAAAACGTACGTATCCTTACCTCTGGGCCAGAGCCACTGAAAACGATAAGTAAACCAGCAGTCTCGTACAAAAACATCTACAGTAAAGTATATTACAAAGTATATTATACACCGCGCAGTATATAACATGGTCAAAGCCATGGTAAAACCCACACATCATAACAAGACGATCGTAGCCATCAAAGATGCTTTTATAAAATACATCCATTCAAAATCAATATGCGTATTTCGACAAGCAAATGCGCAAAATCTCACGGATTGTACGTACAATACACATCGTTAGGATACGAGTGATATTGTTTTAAATGTTTGCAGCGCCCAAGGTAAGTCTAAAATCTCGTTGGTAGGCCTCTTATCGCCTACAAGCATACCTCGTCATCAGCTCGAAATTTAGCTATTCCGTCGAGAAGTCAACATCCCAGATGCAAAGAAAAATGCAAGAAAATGTCGTACCTGATCATCAGCGGAAAACATATTTTGATAGCCATTGTTCTATAAAGAAGACACACGCAACGCAATAAAACAGAAAACATACAATTAACGAATCTTCTTAAAAGATGATACAGACTATTGCTGATTCAAAACTTACAGGAGACAAAAGAATAGCTTGAAATCTAGTGAAGACATCCGACGCAAAGTTGTGCACGTGATTTCTGGAAAATTCAGAAGTAATACAAATGGTACGTCACGTGTAGTTTATTAATGGTTTTGTTTGATAGTAAAACCAACAAAATATGACTGACTTAACAATGGTAGAACGTAATGAACACATACACTCGTTAATGAACAACGGAACTCGTTAATGAACAACGGAACTCGTTAATGAACGACTGAACACAATAATGAACAACGGAACTCGTTAATGAACGACTGAACACGATAATGAACAACTGAGCTTGTTGATGAGCAAATGAACTCATTACGTAAAGAATTACAGCAAATGAAATATATAAAAAAATCGCCATCAGCACACTGACTTGTGACTTCTTAAAAATCTCGCTACAAGATAACATCCACGGCTACGGACTTTACAGTTGGGATGACTCAAACATCGCTCGTCGAGGAATGAGCTCTGCAAAAGATTATCAAGGCTAGAAATCAAAGCAAAAATTGAAACGCATTTACTACGATATAAAATCCAACAGAACCAAACGAACCAAGACTTCAGGAATAAACTGAGGTTGCGCAGTGAAGAATCGGTCGTAGCGCACCAGCAATTCGAAGTACTGGAAGGGCATAGAAGAAATGAATAATTGTGAATACAAAACCAATATCAATGACCACTGTAGATCATAACTCGAAGTGAAAAGACTTACTAAAATTGAAACAGAGAAATGTGTCTGTGAAATTATGTTGCTTGATATTAACTAAAAAAGAGCAAGTTTATACATCAGGTTAGGAGTAGAGTGAAGCCAGTGACAGACAAAGGGGGTAGTTTCAGTTTTGGGACTATCTACGGCAGAAGCAGTTGCACACGTTTCGACGTGCTTCACGAAACAAGGTTTTAAAAACATAAGTTTAAAACATTGGTAAACAACAAAAATCAGTTCTGATACATCGTGTGTTTCACGAGAAAGACAGACTTAAAACTCACCGAAGAAAGTATGTTTTGCATAATCTCCCATTTTACAGGATCGGTGTACAACTGTTGGTTCTAAGACAATCGGAAAACAAGAAACAAAAAAAATGAAACATGAATCAAGAAATTGTAAAACACGAAAATTCAACGAAAGATTGACAAACCGGAACAGCTTCGCCCAAATAATAAACCATTCTCATTGCGACTTCAACATCCATAAATTCTAAATTCTTCCAGTCCCTGCATGGTTGAAATCAAGAAAACGGTGTTGAAGGAAAAGGAAGAAAGAATTGCAAGGATATGATGTGAATTAGAAGCGATACTCACAAATGATTCTATTATCATTTACAGACCTCCGAAAAAGTAAAAGCAAGCATTCTGGAAACAGCCAAAAGTGATGGTAATTTAAATGGCGAAGCAGCGATGAAAATACCGTAAGATTAGGCAAACCGAGGCTACCGTCTTTAAGGGCAAGCGTAAATTTATGGCATTATTTATGACGTCACCCGTGGTCTTGCATGTAGCACTCGAAAGCTACCACAGTACATTTCACAGAACTAAGTAACCACTTTACAGGAAAATTACTTTATTAGTCTCACTATGCACCGCTCAATTACCACTTTTTGTAACAAGCAGTGAAGAACCACTTCGAACGACTAGCTCACAGGAACACAAGCAGAGACGAACCATTTCGAACGACTAGCTCACGGAAAAACAATTTAATGTTTCACAGAAAACAATTTATGCATAACAAATAGAAACAAGAAGAAAAAACTGCGCGAAATGAGGAAAAGAGACAATGGGCGTAGCCAGCTCCACAATTGGGTGGCACATTACTACATGCATTTTCTGTTTTATTAAATTCTGCTAAAATCAACTGTCCCTACTGATAATAATTTAGCAAAGTTCATCACCTTTATCGCTTTGAGACCCCCCCCCCTCCCCTTCAATTATTCAGACTGCCTAAGCTCGCGCTGATAGAGTACATACTTAATAAGTTTTAATACTTTGAATATTACCTCAATGTATGCAACACATACTCCATGACAGTCGACAACAACAAATTCGGATCCTTCAAAAGGAGAGATCATATATGTTCAAGGTAAGTGTTTGAACTTCCACATCGATAATCATAACGTATGTTACCAATTGACCAATATTTTGAAACAATATCTTCAACGTTTTTCTAAACTCGAGGAACATCACTTCGTCGTCACCCTGAAAGTTAAAATAGTTTCATCTTTCACACTGCACTTTCACGTAAACACAAAAATATCCGTACTATATCACACTTCAATTTTCGGCAGAAAGCTCTAAGGAAACGATGGGTATTTATTCAATTTTATTGTTAGTCAGTGGTGCAATTGTAGCAGCTTTTACTCATTATAGCCAAGCCAAACGAGCTTTAACAAGTAAGAGGTGCTGGTGAAAAGCGTTATGTGGTTCAAGATTGCTGTTTTTAAATGACTAGCAGGATTATTTTTTTAAAGAATATAAACAATCACAACGTTAAAATAGAAAAACAATGACATGCTTTCCAGAGAAGAGATATCTTAAAGAAAAACTCTCGTTGAAGAATCCACCAAGACATGCACAATAAAAAACATACAATACCTCTTGATCAAAGTCGTACGATTCGTCGTATTTCATTTTTTGAATAACAGTTAGAAGCAAGCCCTGAACAAAAAATGTTATAAGCGATCCACAAATATGAATTCAAATCCAAAAGGAAAATACATGTTTCACCTTTATGACGCCCTTTTGTTCGGTCGACAAATTTGGCGACTGTCAAAGAAAAAAATACAAACTGGTCTGTTACAAAAATACGTACGTAAGTAAAGGGGAAAAGTCAGATATTCTCTAACACAAAACCGAAGAGAAGAACAAGAAATTTGCACTAAATAACTAACTAAATGTGCTAAGTACAGGGGACAAGTCAAATAATCTCTTACACAAAACCCAAGAATTTAAGCGTTAAACCGTACTTGTTTAAGTAACGTAATGTAATCTTTCGCAAAACTGTGTACACTTTGTGATATGTCATCGGCTTCATTTGCAAGAAAGCTATCAGAAAACGAAATTGAAAAATAAATAAATGAACTTTAATACACTATTTGAATAGCTATACTGTACAACAGTGTACGCTGAAACCAAATATTTCAATTTCTTCTACATTAAAGAAAGACAATAAATTTAAGAAAGACAATAAAGAGTGTTTTGTGTTTCATAATCGATCTACGATATAAATATTGATATAAAAACACAACACACCCAAACATATAGTTGAGCTTGCTTTCGATAATACTCAACGTCTTTAACGCTTCGTCTTCACTGCCTGCCTTTTTAAGCCTGTTAAAGCAAAAAATTGGACAACATTACTGAAGATATATGTATGTACAATGCGTTATTGAAACCATCTTGTGGGTCACGAGTCTAAAAACTGTTACATTACTTTGACCAGCAGATAATCAACTGAGTGCCAGCCGCGTTGATGAGTTTTGCTAGTTTAGCCTGAAAATCGCTGTCGTCCGACTAAAAAACACACACAAAAAAACAAAAAATACGACATTAATGTTAATGTAGTTAACTATATCAAACAACAACCTTTTTTTTTGCAGCATCAACAAATGTAAGAACGATATCTTGCACCATAAAGTTGTAATGTAGTTTGCAAACAACAAGCATGAATTCATACCTCACTTGGTGGTAAAACTTTCGTATCTTCCAACACTTTAAGCAGCGATTGAATCAACTGTATTTTGTCCAGCGGCAACATTCCTGAGGTGAAATGATTTAAGAATTACATGAAGCTTCAAGCTAGACCGTTCGTTCATTGGACAACGAAAAAATCAGTAATTGAGGAAGAGGATGGAGAAGATAAACAGAGAAATAAATAAAACAAAGGTAGATAAACATGCTTACCTTTATTTATGATCTCAGCCAGGCAATCGCAAGCGCTTTCCTGGAGCAGGTCGATCGACAAGTGGTTCAAAAATATTCTGTTACAAGTAAGAATGAAAAAGATGTATCACATGGTCAAGTCAAATGGTGCACGCTAATTGGTTCATTTAACGTATGAAAGTAATGAAAGTAAGAAAAGCAAGGTGCTAGAAGGAGAAAAGCACAGCTTAGTACTTCCTTCAGTGACGGCAAAGAAAATTCCTAAGGTGATTTTGAAGTATATCGATTTGTTGGGTCGTTTTTATCATTTGGTTTTGTTAGCTCACGACCAGAACCCGTCTATAAACTGTGTTAAATGTTTTTGAATGCAGTAAATTGCTTTCTTCACAAAGTAACCTTCGGGTTCTGGCAGCAATTACATTTACATATCCATCAAAACGATGATTGAAAGCCAACCGGAATGCGCAGCTAACAACATACATGTAGGCATATGAAATATTTGTTACCGTATAAATTTATCATTAGCAATCAAATTAATGTCGATCCACGAAACATATCGTCCAATCACATCCAGACACAAACATATAATTTGCGGTTGAACGTTTTCAACATCACTCTGAAACGGAAGTTAGTTTGCGCGTAAATGCTGAGAGAGTAAATACTTCGGAGTAAACATTTCCACATCATCTATAATTTTTTCCTTGTGGATTAGAAGGGCAGGAACTAGAGTACAGAGAAATTCGCCCAACATATTCAATACATCAGTAAATAAAGGAGGAAGGGTGGGTGGGTGAGTGTGTGATAGACGCAAATTTCCCGTTGGACGACATCACAATGTGTATTAACACGTAAAAACTTAACTATTTGTAAGATTTTATTCTTTCAAAATTTTTAGTCGACGACTTTCTTATAAATAAAGGTTATTTCGAAATTAAAATAGAGCAACTATAGCTAATTTATATAGCCTAAAACGATTCTGAAACGCGAAGGTCTCACTTTAATCGCGTATTCGCCAACGACAGAGAGTTGAAGCACATTATTCACCAACTCCAGAACCATTGCAATGTTCATCAACTAATTCAACAACGCAATTGAACTGTGAACATGAAAACTCCATTCTTACCAATATTTTGTACCACGCTTCAACCAACTCGTTCACGCACTGCACACGCATCGCATCCTTGACCAGCGTACTTTTCTGAACATCCTATAGGATGAAGACACAAGAAGTGGTTTTGAACATGAAAACAACACAAGGACTATACAACATCATACTACAGGATTAAGTGGAGAAGAACTACCTGTTGTGATTGTTGCACTTCCCTGTTGATGACTTCTTCATCGATATTCTTTAAGATTGTCAAAAAGTTTTCCATTCCATTTTGTCCAAATTGAAGAAGTGAAAGAATATCAGAGAAAAACGACGGCCACTAAAATAGGATTAACATAACAATAATCAGTGTAAAAAGCCTATAGAACATGCAGACTGTATTGAAAACATGTGGCTTTTATCTCATAAGGAGTGAATAAGGACAATACAGATGTGGCTGAAAGCCTTGATGTAGAGCGAAATTAATGAAAAATTGTTGGTATTTCTGCAAGTTGTAACTGAACTTGCAAATGAGAGCAAATAGACTTTCCCTAGTGAAAATCATGAACAGGATCCTGCTTAGGATCATAAATGAACATCATTTGAGATCCTGTAAAGTCCTATCTTATCCAAGATCCCGCAGGATCCAACACAGGAATTTGCCAGGGCTGCAATGCATATGTGATTCTGGATTACCACATGGTAAGGAAGGTGCAGTTTAGTATCAAATATGCACTGTATATTTCTAAATGCATAGAAACGGATTTATATTATTTATTGATTTAAATAAATTTCCAAGTACGTACATATCCTAATCAACAAAATGTTCCATCATGATATCATTATTATAATGCGACAATTTCTTTCAAAAATTAAGTGCTTTCGAAATGACAGACATTCCATTTTAGAAACACAAATTTAACCAACATTTCAGTCTTCATGGGGAGATAATATAAGCGCAGCCGACATCACAGTCAGCTTGTGCTACATTTTACATACAAACCTTTTCAGGATATTCATTGATGAATATCAAAGTGATAACTTGGGCTCCTTTGTTTGATATGAATGACTTTTCCTTCTCCACATTTTGTAATGACTATATAGGAAAAATTTAAAAATGAAATAATGCATGACAAAAAGACAAGACGAGACGCTAATAAATCACAGGTTCAATGGTATGATTAAAATTTCATAGAAACTTGAAACTTGCATAACCTTTGGACAAAATCTTACTTTATGAAGCCAGGACATAAGCATTTGTTTAAATAACTGTTGGTCCGATTCAGCCATTGCATTATACCTAAACGCAAAAACATTAAAAATGTGAAAATATTCAAGGAAAGATGTTGAATTCTTGCTTCTTAAAAGAAAATTCCTTTCATAAAGATATCACAGAAATCCTCATGTTAGTCATTGTTGATATATTCATACCTCTTTTTGGCATGGTGCTCAAGGACTTGAAAACAGAAGAACTTATGGTGATCTGAGCTGCAAGACAAAGACAAATGAGCAAAGGATTAAGATAGTAAAAGAATGGATACATACATTAATAACATGTGACATTTATAGCCATCAAACCTTGCAGTTCCTTGCAGAAGAGCCTGGCCACAAATCTTCCATCCATCAGATGAGTTTTTGAATTGCTCAAGATATGCAACAGTCTGTGTAGACAATCATTCAAATAAATTTATAACGTACAGTTATTAAATTAAGTTAATTATACTAGACTTGAGGAATTCAAGTTTCAACATCAGATTATTCCTGACGAAGATAAGACAAACCGTTAAATACGGGACGAAACCCATTTATAATTAACAATAGTAGCCTGTCCCACTTCTACTAACCTTTGATTGTGCCGATGGATTTTCAATAGGCGATTGTAAGTATCCCTGTAACGACTGCTCGTCCATTACTAGTTGTACTTGAACTATACGTGAACTATACAGCTATCTTTAAGAGTTGGTCTTTAAAAAATTTGGAGACAAACATCACATATTTTGCAACCACGTGCAAGCCTTTGGGAATCAGCGATTTTCAACTACATTCTAGTCGACGAAGATCGCTTCCACCTCTAACGCGTTTCCCCTAACTATTTCTTATGAAGATTTAACGTGTCATTGCTGTAGGCAGAAGGAAATAAAAATGACAAAAGAAACAACAATCCTAAATGACACAAGTAAACATCTAGGAGAATTTCACAACACCGTGTTTTTATTTCGTCAGATTTATAGCGCACTTATTTTCGCGTCAAATTTGCGACTTCTTTTACCGGAAAAAACTTCGACCAGAAAGCAAATTACGGGCAAGATTTCAGTAGCTCTAATAATTTCTTAGTTTTAAAGTTTCTACAGTCTACTAAATTCAACTTTCTACTTGAGAATTTGACACTCATGGTATTAAATTGATCATTGAAGACCAAAGCAAAATATCATGTAATAATACTAAAGCAAAATTGACTGGAATCTTAATCAGACAAGTCCGTCCGTTTACGTCAAAATCACTAATTATGCTCCTTTCAAACCACGTTCAATGTTTGGGATAACAGGTATTCCAAAACATATCACATGCACCAATTTGAAGTAATTTTTTTGGTGGTAAAGTTTCAAATTATAAACAACTAACGACGCTTTATCATCGTAAAATTAATTTCCTGAAAAGCATCGGAGCAACGTGATTTTAACGTGACGTCATTTTCCAATTACGCGGGACCAGTCAATAAGCAAGTTCTTGGAAATGAAAGACGAGAATGTTCTATTGTTCAACGGTTTCCAAATCCTTCTGCACTTGAGAGAAATCTATATCTTCACCGGTACAACGCTTGTACAAGTGCTTGATGTCTTCGCAGGTCGTTTCAAAATGTGTCGTGGCATCATATGACGTTGTCAAAAATACCTGGAAATGGAATGCGATAAATAGTTACTTAATAATAATAATCATAATCGATAATAATAGTAATTAAATTTGACGACAATAACAATAATATTTGTACTAAATAAACTTGAAGATGATAACAATCATAATTGGCCCTTTTTATACTAGAGGGATCATCTGCCAGGACGGATCATCCGTCTGACGGATCATCTAAGTACAAACACAAGACGAACTATCTACACGAACAGCATATAGACGAACTTGACAATTTCGTCGACATTCCGTATTTTCACTCACAGACGGATCATGCGTTGAGACGAACTATCCATGCAAATTCCTCAATATAGACGAACTATTCAGATTATTTGTCTTGACCATTGAACTAATATACATGGAACGCTGTCTGAAAAAAAAACCCTAATTTTTTGAAGCCGCGATTCTATCCCAGACACGCGTGTGTAGTCAATCAATTGTCGCCGGCGAGAGAGTCTCGAAGCACTACACGCGCGTGTCTGGGGTAAAATCTCACGTGTCTGAGTGTAAAATTCGGCTTCAATTATTTTCTTCAGGTAGTGTTTCATGTATTTTAGTTCAATAGTCTTGACAGATGATTCTTCAATGTGCACGTATTTACACAAAGACGAACTTGTAGACGAACTACGTTTTGTTAGATCAAGTCCGTCCAGACGGATGATCCGTCTCTAGGATAAATTGGGCCAATATTTGAACACAGAAAACATTGAAAGTACCACTTCATAAAAACTTATTGCGTAACACATATGTCATATCGTATGTGTTGTGACTACTCCACCATATGGCAGACAGTCAATTGCATTTTCTGACAAATAGGAACGGTTAAGCGCTGTATTCGATATACATTATTGAGTCGCAAATTCAAGTGTCCCACTGTCTAATCTTCATACTGTGTATCAGGCGTACATGAAGTAGTACGGTCATGTTGACTGTTGTCGTGGTTTGACTGAAGTGCTAAGTACTTTCCTGAGTGATTCTCCCTTTGCATTTTCCAGCAGGAGTTGTATGTACTCAATAAAATATATTGTTTCCTAACTGTTTGGCCAGTAAGACATGGCAGGTGAATGACCCCAACTGTCAGGGCACTTTAAGCTATTAAATAACAAGCGCCATGCCTCTGTACAATTGTTAACTATTGCATACGTTATACTGTATAGCTGTAGAATAAATAATGACTTTAACCTGCTTTCGTCGTCGATTATAAAGTGTTGTAAATGTTTTCAATATGCTGTGTATGTCATGTGCTGTTGTAGCTACACATTTTCATTTATTATTGCGAGCTACACCAAGCACAGCACCTTCTACCGGCAAGGCGATCGTGTTCTTGAATAGAAACGGGGTGGAGTGTTTTAAATTCATTCATTTAAGGTGTCTTCAACTAACCTTACTCTTAGACCCATCATCAGTCGGCTCAAACACATCATCAATGGAAAAAAACCTAAGAAATATTATAGCACAAATTAAAACCACCAAAAATCACAAACGGCTATCACATTATCCCGGTGAAAAACATTTCTGAAAAGACAATATCTTCATTTCATGTGAAAATTTCTAGTATAGTGTTTAGGCGATAGGGGCTATGATGGAAACGTTTTGAAGCCAGGAATAAAACATGTTTTCTGTCTTTAATATATTCTCCGGCATATTTGATATATTTGAGCTATCACAGCTTAAATCTATCATCGATGATCAATCATATCAATATAGACAACAAAAAGAAAGTTGCTTGAAAAAATGCGCGTACTTTTCCTCAATAGGAGCTAATACATCCAGACCAGGTTTGAGTTCAGCTTCGGGATTGTTCGTCTCGACCGTCGTGCTCACCATAGCGACGTAGTACTTATCCGGGCACACGTGATGCGAGCTTGACACACAGCATACGTAGATGTCTAGAAAAGCAAAAAATGGCAATATTAACAAAATGTTTATTGTGTATCTCGCAAAGCTTTACGGGAATACCGCAATGTTCTGGGAGAAACCTGCATACGTAGTGCTATTTCAAGGCATTTTTCAAGGTTCTCATGACTACCGATCCTTACAAAATACTAATAATGTATCAATAATTTGACATTACATGGTAACAGGATCGATGATTCGGGCAAAATATATTATACATTATACCCCTCAAAAATACCTGATTTGCGACCAACTTGATTTTGTGGAATAATGATTTGACACGATGCAGAATTAGCTGTATCTCTTATGGGATGATTTAGAATGCAAATGCATCGCGCAACCTATTCAGAAACGAGAGAAAAACAATAAGGAAGATCTTAACCCGATTATAGGGATGTGTTATGACTGCTTTTTCTCTGTTACTTACACATCTCGCGCATCATTTTCTTAGTATCGTACATTGCATTCATTCAGTCCAGGACATTAAGGTACATGTTTGGTACTATAGACTACCCGTGTACAGGCAGTGTTAGCATTGGACATTAAGGTACATGTTTGGTACTACAGACTACAGGTGTACATGCTAAATCACACCATCGCGCTTTATTTTATATTTGATGTCCACATAAGTATGGAATTTATCAGAAAAGAAAATTAGCCGATCGTAAAAATTTCGAGCATGACACCTTTTAGCAAGTACATTATTGAGTAAATTTTGTTGTTAGAAGTTGCGTTGAATTTCCAAGAGCGGAAAAGCCTTTCGGGCATGTTAAAAAAATATTGAAATAGAAAAGCGGTGGAGGTATTGAAATAATAACAAAAGGTTGGTTTCTAAACGTCTCCTTTTTTGACATACCCCTTAGTCAAAACAAACGAACTACAAACACTCAGGCATATTTGCGTACATAAACACACGAAGGTTCGCCCTACCTGTCCAAATTTCTTGACCTTATCAGGAAAATAAGTCGGATCAGCAATCACGCATTTTGTCTTGACAGTCTCTCCTTGAGACGTCACGCCGTTAATGGTTCCAGTCTCGTCGTAAGTGTAGCCCTCGATTGGCTTATCCAGCATATACGTACCACCGTATATGGCACTGAGACGCGCAAAACCTTGTGGGAGTTCTCCGAGGCCGTACAAAGGATAGAGATACGGCGATTTGCCGTAACGTGCCAAAGAGTTGCTGTGAGAACCGTTTATGATTTAGGTGATAATGTAGTAATTACAATTTTTAAGAAAAACTGCCTATCCTAAACTTGTATAAAACACGTGCATTTATAAATACACGCACACAATTTAAAGAATGTGTGTCAACCAAGATGCGTTGCGCGTTGATCACGGCGTGGCGGTCATTTTCTGGGACGCGAAAATGGCGGCTTGTGTTACTATTCGTTGTCCATGGAACTTTGACCAACCGACAACTTTAAAATATAATTTTTAAGTAATTTAAAATGTTTTGATTTGAAATGGCATCGTTCCTAAACGTGGAAGGCAAAAACGGAAAGTTGAACAACGCCGGATTCGTTTACAGATTGAATTATACTACGAGTGGATAAGACAAAAAGAGTTAAATAGAATGGCACAATAGACAGATAGTGACTTTGCTGCTTATTTTATTCAAATTTTGAATGAAAAGAAAAACTTAGCTATAGTCCTACGTCTATAATTTACAACTACAAAACTAGTAAATCGCCATTAAAAAATAACAACGTTGAGTTTTACTGTACATACAATAACTGTATTTTCTGAGCATTTTAATAAAAATATGTTCTGCAAAGTGAAATTTACTTGTACTTGTGTCCGTTTCGAAGTTTGTACCAAATCAGCACTCGTAATTACAGTCAAAATTTTTAAATAATGATTTTTTGCTGAATTTTTCAGCTAAATTAGATAACGTACATTCGCAAACAAGGAATCAGTGTACGGATGGCTCAAAAATTAATGATGTAAACATAAACAAAAGCGCGCAATGCATCGTGGTTGACACACATTCTTTACATCTTTCATTACTACAGCACACAGAACTTTAAATTAAACTTCGATGAAATCAAAGAAAATGGATTTCTTGCTTAGGGTGACATAAAGTTAATATTAGACAACAAGCGCATTCAAATCATGTACCGCAAAAACTCAATTATGAAGGTGTTGAATTTTAAATGCAAGTACAAAAATAAAATGTACAAGTACTAAAATTTAATGTACAAATTTTAAGAAAAATGTCTAAGAACTATATAATGAACACTCAGTGGTGACGATTGATTAAATTGAAGTAAAACAAGCAAAACAATGCATTTAACTCTAAAAACATCACCACTATTCCTTACATAGACACTAAGAACTGACAATAGTTTGAACTTTAAGACATACCTGTAAAGACTAATCTTCAAAAGTGCTTCTTTACAGGGCTGAGATTTATAACTAAAAAATTAGGGAAATATTTCAAACTAGCACTATGTAATAGGCCATAACAAGTATTTATGAGGTAAAACCAAAGAGAAGATGTGTGCGTTATTTTTTTCATGAAAAACGAAAGCCAATTTTTGAATACATGCAGCTGTCATTATTCCTTGAAGGCCGTTGGCTTATCTATTTACAAATTTATAAAAAGTTTAAAAACGTTTCATTTCAAGTTTGCTGTTTTTTTGATTATTTAATAAAAACAAGATTACCTGTCGTCTCTATACAAAGCTAGGGCATGGCCAGTGAAATCCTCTGTGTTCATGTCCAATCCAAACTTCTTATAAACCTCGGCCATTGTAGTCTTTTCAGGATCGACACCTTCAAAAATTCAACATAAGATGAAGATGAGCACTATCTTTCATAAGCAATATCTTTCAAAAGCACTATCTTTCATAAGCACTATCTTTCATAAGGCTATCCCTTCAGGATGCCATTAGTACACCATAATATCCATACATATACCTTGCCATGTTTTAGGATCATGCACATCAAAACTGGAGACAAAACTAAGGAAATTTTTAAATCGTCTTTTCTCAAATATGCCCATCAGCGAAGATGCCAGAGCTTCTTTCTCGTTAGCAGGTACTTTGTAAATTTTCCCACCACTCTTGTAGACAAAACTACCATCGATCTGCTTGAATTCCAGGTAACGAGTAACGCCACTGAGAATTAAAATTTTCACAAGTTCACCTATGGAGGACAAAAGACACTAGAAATAAATCATTTGACTGAAAAGAATAGAAGAATATGAATTCCTTGATAAACCTACTTTAACTGTTCTTACACCACAAGCTTGCACAAAATACAAATTTTAACACACATGATTCACAGGTCCCAAAGCGAAAATCGATGCCAAAACAATTTACAAAACAGATATGGCATCACATGTACAAATATGAGCCAAAGTTTCAACTTTACCTACCATCAGCCATCAAAAATTTAGGAATCAAGTCCACATTCCAGTCCCTTCCTCGACCCAGTTTCTCATTGGGTTTGTCAGCTCGACTAAAATGCTCGTACAATGTTTCCAAAGGTGTCAGAGAAGCACTAAGTCCACCATAGTACTTGTTGCGATCCATGTGAAGGACTTTCTTCTTGTTGACCGACAGTAGTCCACTGAGAATGCATTCCTAGATGTACAGTATTGGCTAATAAAGGCATGGATTTAAAGAAGCAGACCTATTTCTAATTATCCCAGTAAAAGCTACATCAAGAGCTATTTCACATAATCAAATAGATCATTTGTCAAAGTTAACAGAAAGACTGTCTGATGAAGTATGTTTTATTTCCATTTACACAAAGGGTAAATATCTTCGGCTACTAAAACGGAAGTATAGTTAAAAACGCTATATATAACCAATTGCTCTTCAACAAAGACGATTTCAATTCAATATCTAAATTGATAATCATTAAATCTGACAAGAAAGTCACACACATTCCATGCTCAGAATCAGGGTTGAATCAAGACACAACACCGAATACCACACAAAATATAGAAAAATTCGAAGCAAAAAACTCAAGTACTTCACTCCTAACAGGAAAACGGTAAAAACACAACAAATATAGGTAGAGCGACGTGTACTTTGTTACACAATTAGACGTTAGCTGACTTGAATCTGCGCAGGCAAATCATATTTTTCCGGCTGCAGAACTTCGCTCTTTACGAAAATCGTGCCCTAAAACCCACCTTCAAGCCAGTTCCCAGAACAACATAGTCATATTCTTCGTCCATGGCGAATAGAACAAGCGGATATTTCAAATAAACCTTGTTGAAAATTGCCGTGAATGTGAACTGGTCGTCCGAATCACACCCTGCCTGTGACTGAAGCGGTGAAGCTGAACGACGTCGTTGGGAGAAAGTAGGTGAATGAGGGACAATCGAATGGAATGTTGGATTACTATAGGATCAACTAGGGTAATTAAATTTTAACCCACTTACTCATCAAATCAGGATGTTACAAAATAGTCGAATAAGCGCCGCAGCTTTATTAATTTTCATATCGGTGAAATATCAAATAACAATTTAAATACTTTCGATTACTAAACTGTTATGTCAGTTTGATGGAAAAAAATTTGAGCGTTTAACTCTACTAGCTACGTATTTAAATAATATGGATAACAAAATCAATGAAGTTCTAAGGCATGTGATTTTTTATGTGCAATAAAAACAGGCGGGTCAGGCACGTTTCTACAACCCTTAATCTGTCTTCTGATTATATCAATATTGATTATTCCATTGCATTTTAATCTGTTAAAAAACAATTAAGAAAAAAGTAAAAAACAACGACAGTTCGATGCAGTACAAAACTACGCATGTACAATGTACATATATCTGGGGCTGGTCGCACAAAGCCTGGATAGCGTTATCCAATGGATAGCAAATGTTTCTGAACGTTCACAAAATATCTTGGAGGAGAAATATATACGATTTGAACTGTGCAATCACGGAAATAAACTATTGTATCGAAAATTACAAAATTTCTTTGTCATAAGAAAAATATAAACACCTTTTTTACAAGTTTGAAAATTTTCGCTATCCAGGCTTCGTGCAACCGCCCCCTGTAGTTTTCTAACGACATTTCAATCACCAAATTCTTGACTGACGTCACTATTAAACAAAAGTAACTGAAAATGTGATATTACCACAATGTGAATTTTAATGGTGAAGTCTGGTAATTGTTACCTTTGACGCAAAAACTCAATGTTTACTTTCTCAACAGACCTGTACTAACACAGATGTAGACAGATAGTTGCACTTTAAAACGAAGCTTTCGTAAGCACAATGAGTGCGCTGGAAAAAATCTTCTTAACGACAGAACTCGAAGACTTCCACTCATTCACGTGATCTGTGAAGCTATTTCAGTCTTGGGAAAGCTTAGCTGAGAATGTATTTCACGAATGTAGCAAAAACGAACGTTACCAGTGAACACCAAAAAAGAGCTTCTGCTTTCTTTGAACACTAACGACAAATATATAAGTACATGGTTTTCATCACCTATTTTCTTTTTCGTTTTTAAATTGGTCCCTACGTATTGTTCCAAGTTCATATAAAAAAGTTGATTTTGTAGTTGTGTTGACGTCGCTAACCACTATTCTGTCAAAAGTACAATTTTCAAGCTACATTTTATGGTATTATATTATACATTTTATAATTTTCCGTGTCTCCAGTCTCACGACGAGGAGAGCTTTTGTGAAAGCCAATCGAGTCCTTCGTAAAGACCGGTTCCATCTGTTGCCACACAAGTTTGAATATACCACTAAATTAAAGAAACGAATGGACATGAAAGAGAAGATGGAAGTTGCAATATATATATATATATATATGTTTAAAGATTGGTAATCCAGGCATTACATTATATAAACAGACATATCGACATACCCATCATATACTCACAACTAATGAAAAAGGACAAAAAAACAACAAACAACACCAAAACTACAGCATTACACTCTAATAACATTAACACCGATCATATTCACAATACAACAAAACCCATGGCCACGCATTTCACCCCATCCAATCACATTAATCCACCCGCTAATCCAATTAGACGCTCTAAGCGTCTACAAGCTAAAAGCAAGTGTAAATAGATAATTTCCTCATTCTGATGAAGGCTAGAAGCAACGAGTCGAAAGCTCAATAAAAATCATATAACATATACATTAACGTCTTTTGAATGGAATGGCGACTACTGGCTCAAAGGGAATAGTGAGGGTAGGGGTAGGTGTGCAGTGAGATTATTTGGGTAGGGGGCTAGAATAAAACAGTGTCTGCTTTATTTTTTCTGAGTCAAAGCCCGTGAAATTCAGATTTTGTGCGACATTTTACCGAGCAAGTTAAATATCAAACTTAATATGCCATAGATGGGCAATAATCTTAATACGAACAAAGGGAATGAAGCTATATTTGAAGTATGCAGAAGAATTATGAAAACCTAAAAACAATTCAGTTCGTTTTAAGTGCAGCTGCACAAAATTAATTAAGAAATTGCTCGCTATCTATGACGACCGATGTGTTTTAAAGATAAGACGTCGAAATTTTATAACCATTTTCAACAAAGTATTCGGCGCTAATTTTTACATGCAAACGCTTACAAACATCAACAATAATTCATGTGGAAAGGCACATTCAATTCCGTGGGATAGTTTTAAGAGATCAAAATTTTTCACAATGCCATACATTAATGTTTATCCACTGTGTTTATCCCAAAGCCATCATCCAAAGAAACAGAATATGAATTCTAATGAGAACGGTTATTGCGACGTCCATTATTTTTGTATAACGTTCACTTATATTGAAAGGAATATTAGTATCGAACGCTTGTGCGATCTTAAAAGCAAGCTGAATTTTGCTACCGACTAACAAAAGATAAATATTGTACGCACAAATAGCATTACAAGGATTAGGAAGCTAACGTATTCTTCAAGACAATGCAAAAAACAAGCGCAGTGCAGGCACTTACGTGTCGTTTCACTTGGTGAAGATTCAGTTTCTCAGTAAGATCCGATGCGCTCATCGCGTTCGGTAGATCTTGTTTGTTTGCAAACACCAATAACACAGCATCCTTCAGTTCATCTTCTTCCAACTAAAAAGTTAAATATATTGACGACAAAACTCAAGGATAACATTGAGCACCGTGACAAATACATCTTGATTTTAAAGATGCCTGGGGCTAAGAAATTACAAAATCATTTTAAATCGCAAAGCTTGAATAAAAATGACAATTTAATGATTGAAAAGTAGCAAGGCAGCGGCCTTCCCTCCAATGGTTTTCATGTCAGAGAATGTCTCAAGCAAGATGAAAACATGGGCGAAATATACACAATTACAGTGTACGTATTTTAAAAATAAAAATGAGCAATATTGATTGCGTAGGAAAAACATATGTTCTCGAACATCCAAATTCACACAATAACAAAGGACATGCCCAATTTGAATGTGAATTTCACAGTTATAACATTCTTCCTTTACATATGTACAGCAAACATGTAGATTGCAATTTAAAAAAAATGCCAATGGCAGCCATAAAATAGTAATGCTTAAATTATCTTTAAAAGCACACCATGGTTAGGGATTCAAACACAAGATATTTAGTTTTTATGGTTATAGTTCCGAAATCACTATTCAAGTGTTAAAAACTTAAATAAACACTTTTGAAATCTTACCCATATTCCTAACCGAAGTATTTTTATATCTTATTGCTTTGGTTCACAAAAACATGAAAGATAAAATTGATTTTGAGAAAGAAAATATATCTATCATTTTGGACAAAATATGAAAAGACTTGACTGCATTCAAACTCACTCCATGCATCTCATAGTCTTGACAGTAACACTTGCCACTCAGCTACAGGAGTGTTTAGAATAAATCAGCAAACTGTACATAATTTTATATCATAGTCCACATATGTAAATATGATCATAAGAACTATAAACATTAAAGCTAATGATCTGGTGTCCAATCCCAAACCACATCACTTAAACACATTTCAAAAAAATACCATTCTTTGCAGTTCCTCGGCTGACTCATTTATCCTTTCACGATCATTGCTATCAACTACGTAGATTAGACCCTAAAAACCATTAAAATAAAAACATTACAAGCTCCTCATTTTCAATATCATCGGGTTAGCTTTCAAAATGTGGTGCACCTGCGTATTAGAAAAATAATGCCTCCACAAAGGACGGATTTTATCTTGTCCACCAACATCCCACACGGTAAAACTGATATTTTTGTATTCTACAGTTTCCACATTGAAACCTAAATAACAGTGTGATATTCAAAAATTTAAGGCAAAAATCAAGAAAAACACCATTAAAAGATTAAATGAATGTGCGAGAACATAATCAAAAGAGCTCATTCAAAGAGCTTGTGGTTGGAGTGAAAAATAAAAAATAGTAAGTAAACCGAGTTCACTTACCAATTGTAGGAATTGTTGTAACAATTTCTCCTAATTTCAGTTTATATAAAATAGTTGTTTTTCCAGCAGCATCAAGACCAACTAGAAACAAGAAAGAAACTTAAAATCAATGGTGAGCTTTAAGGGGAGATACTATATCACGAAAAATCCTGTTAGATTATCCAATCCGCTTGCAGATTATCTCAAATGACCGGAATTTAACCTTAACATGTGCTTTGAGAATAGCCATAAATTGCTACACCTGGCTACCTGGCTTTGCATGTGCTCCTCTTCAAGCACAGGTGGAATTTATGTATACTAACAGGATTATTTTGGAAAATCTTCGATCAACAGGGGGGAGTGACAACTTGGCATTGTTGAAATAGAAAAAATTTTGAGCAAAACTGTGATTTGTTAAATAGAATATCTTGCACTAAACTATCATCGCCATGATATTTTTGGATATCCAATTTCAAGAAGACGCCCTGGCGTTACAAGGCACTTTTCTATGGGAATATGGCTTCCAGGTCACCGTCTAATACAGAACTTGCCTTCATAGGCTTCATTCTTACCCATCAAAATCCGACTTTGTTTTTGCCCAAACAGGTTGTTGAAAAGATTTGAAAACGTCAGTCCCATAGCTCTCTACTTTCTCTCGGATAGACACCGACAACACTCGCGCATTGGCAGAAAATTCAAACAAATTTTAATAAACAATGAATATGCTTCGGCCACGTCGAGAACCAAGTCACTGAAGTCAGCTTTGTGTCAGTCACGTGACAAAATCCACCGCGACAGGCCAGCGGTTGGTTAGACAGATATCACATACTTTATGTAAAGTGGACGAAAGAAAATATTCATAAAACCAATTTGATTCCGAAACCTCAGTTTGGCTAAACGTAAAATATGCTTTTACAACAATCTGGATTTTGAGTAAAATCTGTTTATATCTTATAATGGGCATTATTGTAATGTACCAACATATTGTATTTTTTAAACACCGTTGTCTTGGCAACCATAATCCATTTTTATTTACATTTATTTTAAAGGTTGCAAGTTCGAAGTGTCAACCGTAAAAAGGACACCTGATTATACTTGAATATTTCACGAGAAAGTTCCACAAGCTTTGCGCTCGGGCTTTGTGAAGTAAATTTGCTATGAGCAAAGTAAACGACCAAACGAATTTCCCACAGAGCGAAACACGCTTGCCGATCAAACAGAACGCCGCCGCCATCGAATCAACAAATGAAACGTCGAACGACACAAAGGGAACGAAAACGACACCTCAGAAACGGTCCGATGCTTATCGTGTGGCGTTTTACGGAAGTCAGAAGGAAAAAGAAGCATATAGGTCGTAAGGTTTAAAATAATGAACTTACTATTGCAGCTTTATTCTTAGTGATGGCAATGCCGCTCTAATTGCAATTTCCTCAATGAGAATTATAACAATAAACAACTAGCATCAGCCAATAAGATTGCATGCATCTTTAAGAAAAGATGAACAACAGTATCTTAATGAGGAGTAATGCATCCACTTATAGTGAAAGCCCATTCTGAGTCGTTAGACTACTGTTTTCATGACATTTAATCCGATATCATCCAATGTAAAGAATTATTCTTTCCATTTTCCAATCAGTAGAGATCTGTGGTTTTCTTTCTGCATTAGTTGCGATCAGATTTCGAAGCCAATGTACTTGAAGTACATCTCTAGTTCAGGAGTGATGTAGTGTCCAGTCCTTTTTTCGACCAACTTCGGTCTTCATAGGCGAATAACCATTTGAGTTACAAACTTGAGGTTCGTTTCAGTATACAAAGTTTCTTCATTCTTCTTAAGGCAAAACATAAGATCGCAGCTGAAGGAACAAGTAAGAGAAAAAGACGATCTACAACGTCAACATTTGATCGACAGGGTTGCCGAAAGCGACAAGGCGGTTGCTAGCGATCGCATGTCAAAACAGGAAGATGATGCCATGAGAAAGAAAAAAGCGGAATACCTCAAGCAATTTAGCAACGGCAATAAGAAGGTATGTTGAAGCGAAAGTGAAACAGTTTTTTGTCTTACATATCATACTCTTGTTAAAAAGATTTGCTCTATTTTTTATTCTGTCGACAATGTTGTCATGTTGCAAAGATCTTGTCACAAAGTGACAAATTTGTTTTCACTTACGTAGACAGATCGCAAGTTTCAGTCCTACTGTGTACTTAATTTCAAAATTTCAGTCCTAATGTGTGCTAGATTTCAATACCTTAACTTATTCATTTCGTTAGAAATGTGCTGTTTTTGTAGTGAGTGAAGGGAGAAAAAATGAAATTGGAAATCACTAAGCCATGAAATGAAATTCTCACAAAGACTGTCTTTGAAAAACCATTGCGAGTATACAGCTCCATGGTTGTAAACATTTTAAGTTGAAATACTCAACTACAAGTACATTCAAATAGTTTTTGTCAAATTATAGCTAAAATAATTAAGTTTTACTATTTTCATGACTTTTGACACTGAGTTAATTTGTCAAAGTGTTTTCTTCTGTGATCTTTTTATCCAAGAAGTCCAATCTTAATTTTTGTTCTTTCTGTTAGATAATGGAAGAAAAAGAAATCTCCTCACGTAGAGTGAAAGAAGCGGATGTGGAACTGGAAAGGAAGTTATTGAACATGAATCCAATCAATTGGAACATGACATTACATTAGCAAGATTATAGACGAGCTGCTAGACCAAGACATTTTATAACAATGTTTCATCAAAACGCTTTATATTCGTCTGCATTTCATTTTTCTAAAACAAATCTCAAGATGAACATAACCATCGATGAGCACTGAATTCGATTCCTCTGTAAAAATATAGTCATCCTTAGCTAACTACTATTACATAAAAATTATGAAATTATTAAGTGCACGAGAAATAATTTAACACATTTACTCAGTTTTTGTTACATATATATACTCTGCACGCATTGAAAAGTTATTTTTGATTAGTAACAAAATGAAAGTGTCGCACTTATTTTTTTATTCAAACTGGCCTTTCTCAATGATCAATTGATTTTGGACAGTAGGGAATAGTTCGTGGTAGGACAGCGGCCCATAGTCTTACCTGCTGCGCATGTTATAATCTGCAGAAAAAATTAATTTCACAGGAGCTTGAAATGCATAGAAAATGCATATATGAATATTTACCTTTACTATGAGACCAGCTTGCTCGTAAAATGAAAACACATATTTTTTACAATAATTGCTAATGGCAAAAGTAAAATATCGTTTCTTTGCAGTTTAGTGGCAACATGAAGATATATGAAGTTATTACGTTTCGTACAAAAAAAGAACAATAGAAATTGCTAATTGATGTAATATTCAACAAAAAATTGATTGTTGACCAGGATATGGAACGATTCTAAAATAGTAATTTCGTTTTACTTAAACTGTAACTACTCAATTCATTACATTAAATTTTCTCGATTGGTTTGAATGTTTAATGAAACCTTTTATATTTATTTCATAACACATTTCTAAAACAGAGCTTAAGATTATTATAACCATCAATGGATACTGCCTGGACATTAGTTTTCTGTAAAGACATAGCCATCTAGTTACTATTATATTGAAAGTATATGAAAATGACTAGGGGGAAAAATATCTATATACACGTTGAATAACTCATCATTACAGTCCAAATAAGCAGTTATATGCAGGGCTGAAAGTAGAACTTTAATTCTGGGGGGGGTGGCGTTATTCAAATATTCAGATGCGCGCCCAACTGCTTTCTTTTGAAAGCCAACTTTTGGGCACGACTGAATATATAAATATTTTATTGTATTCACCCCCTCCCCCAATTAACATTCTAGTTACGGCGTATTTTGTATGATATAGTAGCATAACAAGAATTTTTATATTTCATTTGAAAAAAGTGTATCAGGAAAAGAATTAAGCATATTTCATTTGGTATAAAATAAAGCATAATCCAAAAAAGAACATTTTGTAAACTTAGATTAAAGTTATAATTAGGGGCTGATTGCATGAGCCCGGGTGGCCGGGATTCAGCGAAGAGTTAAATGATTTTGGTAAATGGAAATGATTCAGTACTTATCAATAGATAAATCTTTTTGAGCAATTTCAATGTATTCTGACTCTATAAATACGCTAAGCATTTAAAATGAAAACAACTAATTTGGCGTAATTTGACAATTACAACAGGAATGACTTGTGGTGCTTAACAAACAATTGTAATTTTTACGCTTGAAGTTTTGCCTCCTTTCAATAAATTTCCTGAATCCTGGCTAGCCGAGATTATGTAAACAACCTCTAAGAATTGTAACATTTCGGTTTCATTTCAAAATCATCATCCGAATTGTAATGACACCAAGTTATTCGCAAATTTATGTTACGGAGACAACACATAGTTCGTTACACATATGGGTATATTAAAACATACGATCATTATTATTTGTTTGCTGTTCAGTGGCAACACATATTAAGATATTTCTAAAACGAAAGAAGAATTAAAATAAGTTATTTAATCAGTTAGGTGTTGTCCATGCATTGAATAACAAATTAATAGCTTCCAGCAAGAAACTATTCTTATAAGTTTCTATTATAAGAAAATGCTATCACTCAGTTTTTAGATTGCATTGCAAAGACAATTTAAAACGACTCAATTACTTTTTTTCAAAAATAGTATTAATTTTCATCTTTGTTCATCATGGAAATATTATCATTATGACATTATTAGCTCTTGAAACTTGTACTTTTCCTCGACATTTTTCAGCCAGACCAGAAGCCTTTGCACTCTTATACACATATTTATATACACATGTATTCATCACAATGTATACTTATGGAGAAAAACAAGGCTTTATAAAATGTCATAATCCAATGTAATGTTGTCGTGAAGATATTTGCATGATGAGCAAAGTTAAATATCTCTAGAAAGAGGTAAGCAAACACAAAATACTTTCAACATCGCTTACCAAACCTTCTTTTGAGATTTTTTTCTATGTTTTCCATTTTTTCTACTTTCACCTCTATGTTCGGTAGCACTCTTTAATAGAATGGAAAAAAGGGCCATATAGCTATCAAGGCAAATAACAAACAACATTTAATAAATACCCACCTTGCATGGTTTAAAGTGCTGCTGTCCTTGCTTTCAATGTATTTGAGAAAATCATGTGAAAGATCACTCAGCTCATACTGAACCTTTAGCTTTTCTGCAATCCAGCGACCTACGTCTAACTCGTCACTAAGACCAACTTTTCGAAGCTTTGCTTTTCCCTCGTCTGAATTTAAAATGGAATCGTTATCAAAAGCAAACACTGCTAGTTTGAAGTCACGTTGATGCCCATTTTCTGATAATCCAATCTTCTTTTTTAACACCTTGAAAAAGGCATTTTCTTTTTAAGTTAATTAATGACAATTACAAGATGTACGATAAAGTAGAATGACCAACAACCTATCTAACAAATGAACTATCTCACTTCTAATTGAGAGTCCACTCCAGCTTTTATTGTATCTATGTCATTTTCACAATTTTTCCCCATTAATTCGGCATAAAGTCTGTCAGCAAATGTAAAACAAACAAGAACAGGAACATTTTCTTTCTCGAGTATGGAAAGCCATTGTTTCGTTGACTCGGTATGAGCTTTCCTAAAAGAGTAGTTGAAAACAATCAAATTCTTTTAAACGTGAAAATTTATATTAAGCATTATAATCGAATAAAATTTATCAAATTAATCAAGAATTATAAAACGAATCACAAAATTTGGCTAGCTTAAAAGAAGTTTTTACCAAGAATTGAAGCAAGTCAAGAGACAAAAGCTAAAAAAATTTCTGATATTTTTAAATAAAATTTTACGTTTGTCATACCTGTAATCAACAACAAATACAACAATCCGAGTCAAACTTAACAATAATTTTGCCAACTCAGGAATTGTCTCATCACGATCATCCACACTAGGAAAATCAATGACATCTAAACCTTTAAAGTGCTCATCCAAGTTGTAAATCAACGGAACGGTGGTTCGCTTCTGATCTGTGGTGCCAGTCGCCGTCTGAGAAAACAACGTATTTAAAAATGAATTGCTATATTTCTATATATAAAAGACATAAGCATATATATCCTACTTACCAGATCACATGACGGCACATTAAACACACAAGTATTCCGCAAAAATACACACACAGACCAAATACTCAACTTTAATAGCAATCACCCAACACGAAACAAAATTAGTTGCATACGAACTCTCTTTAACAGGATTAAAACACACTGGCATACAGAAGAAGCCAAGAAGAATGAACACAACTACTTATACTCTACATTCATAAACAACAATTACCCACGAAACTTTATCAACAAAGTATTAAACAAAATACACAACAAACCACAAACTGAAAAACCTAACGAAGATACAGACGAACCAGTAAAAATAGTGACATTTCCATATATAAACAGTACATCAGAAATGACATCAAGACTACTCCGACCATTCAAAATAAGCATCGCACATAAACCAACACACAAACTCAAATCATACTTCACTAAACATAAAGACCGAACAACGACATTTGACACAACCAACGCGATCTACATGATACCATGTAAAGATTCCCCCAAACAGTACATAGGACAAACGTCCAAGAAAATTGAAACAAGACTCACTGAACACAAGAATACCATCAAACGACGTGACCCAAAATCAATACCAGCAGAACATACCTACGATACCAACCACACATTTGACTGGACAAAAACACAACTTCTTGGACGCGCACAGACAAAACACGCACGAGAATTCAAAGAGGCATGATACAGCAAAGACAACAACACAATAAACAGACATATTGACATCCCCATCATCTATTCACAACTAAAGACAAAACCAAAACAACAAACTAATAACACAACGACTAAAATAAAACACTAGAATTCATTAACGCAATCCATACACCCGAAACCTTGACAACGCATCTTATACCATCCAATAACATCAACTCAACTACTAACCAACCAATCAGACGCTCCAAACGCCTACAAAATCTTTGTAAATAATATATTCTGACGAAGGCTCGAAGCACCGAGTTGAAAGCTAATAAAAAAAATTTCAAAATAAAAATCCAGAGAATCCTTAATATTAATATATAAATATAGCACTATAGCACAACGAAACAGTTATATAGTTCCGGAACAGTTATATAGTTATACAGTTTTTATAGTTCCGTTGTGCTATAGTGCTATATTTATTCTCCTGACGAGTGTGGCAAGTTAAACAACTGCCATACGAAACAGTTCTGTAGGGAATAAATTTCAATGAAGTAATTCGTGGTTTATTTTATTTTCAATTATACCGCTCTGCCGTGGCAGTGAGCACTCTATCCATGCGATTTTTTTTGCGATAGTTTCTATCACAAAATTCAATTATATATATATATATATATATATATATGATAATGGATTCTCTGGATTTGTTTTAAATTTTATTAAGCTTTCAACTCGGTGCTTCGAGCCTCAAATCAGATTAACATAATATTATTTACAAAGGTTTTGAGCGTTTGATCGTCTGGTCATTTGGTTGATATTATTGGATGGTATAAGATGCGTTGTCATGGTTTCGGGTATCGATTACGTTAATGAAATTCGAGTGTTTTATTTTAGTCGTTGTGTTAAGTTTGTTGTTTGTTTTGTCTTTAGCTGTGAATGAGATGATGGAATGTCATCCATTATTGTTGTCTTTGTCTTTGCTCAAATTACATGCTCTTTGAATTTCCAATTGTGTTTTGTCAGTCCATCAAAGTTGTATCGTAAACAAATGTTCTGTATCAGTGATTTGGGCGCGTCGTTTGAGGCATTCTGTGTTCAGGAGTCTTGTTTCAATTTTCTGACGTTTGTCTATGTTGTTTGGGCATCTTTACATGGTAAGAGAAATGTTGTACACTTTGTATATATATATATATACAAAGTGTACAACAATATACTCTCCCGGCTTAGTATATATGCCGGCCGTATTAAAGATTGGTAAATCCAGAAGTTTCCGTACGTCCTGTGTCACCGTACGTCAATGTGTAACCGTACGTCCTGTGTCCCAAGTGCAGGAGTCACCATTTTACTATGGTGATAGCCGGGAGGGCACATTGTTATACACTTTGTATATTACGCTCACTGCGCTTGCGTTGAGCGCTCGGATTGCTAAGAGAGTCTCATAAAGAGACGTTCACCGCATTCGCTTTATGCATTGCTCACCTATATAGGTTTGAGCGCTCTGGTGACTCTACAATACAATCCATACAATGTGTAACCATACGTCCTGTGTCCCAAGTGCAGGAGTCACCATTTTACTATGGTGATAGCCGGAGGGCACATTGTTATACACTTTGTATATATATATATATATATATATTATTATGGATAATAATCCTGATAAAAGAGCGTCAATATTCTATATATTCCTGGATAAAAGAGCGCTCAATATTCTGGATATATATATATATGCATCACGTTAATTAAAAGAAACTATTGCAAAAAGGTCCAGCGTCCGCATCCGCGTCCTTGAGTAGACACTGGCTAAAAAGGCATTCCAGTTATTAGAGATAGTCTCATAAGAAACTTAAACGACAAAAATAGTTACAAAAAAAATATAATAGAAAATTTACTCAGCTTACGTTGATTTCAAACATGGAGTTGACAAACTTTGATTTTCCTGAATTGACTAACCCAATAACACCAACAGCTGTTTGCTTGGCTAAAGTTTCTCGAAGATTGTTTATCATCAGTGACCATCTGATCCATCGGGCGACCAGTCTACGATATTTTTTTGGTACTAACTTCAGAGTTTCTCCCTCAAACTTAGTGTTCCATTGTTGTAAAATATTTACAATGGGTGTGTGGTAATATATGTTTCTTTTACTGCATTGGTGCTCAAGTTGGCGTTCGAGAGAGTAACTAATGTACTTCTTGTTCCATGCAATGCTTTTTTTCATGCTACCCAACAGAAAATGCAATTTCTCGACGTAGTCAAAAAGCTCACGTTCGTCGGTAGGAAACATATGCTCCCGAAAATCGTTAAGGCGACGGGAGAATGTAATAAAAAGCTGTCCAAATTCTCCTGATGATCTTATCATTTCCTCCAAGTAGTTAAACGGTACAATCAGCAGTCCCCAGACAGACAATCCAAATGAATTAGCATATCTGGCAATTTCACTAACGTACTTATCGTTACCAGCATGCTCGAGAGGAATTTTTACCTGGGATTGCATGAAGGCGCCAAGCAAAGTGCTACAGGTCTCGAACTCATTACGTAAACCATTCAAAACTTCTAGCATCCTGTTATTTAAGCTACAAGAAGATATTTCCGATGTTGCACGTTGTTGTGGTTCGGCAGTCAATTCTTCGCATAATTGTTGGAGTTTATTTTTTCCATCATTCAGCAAAGTCATTGGAGCTTTGCAACTACGATCATTTTTTTTGGTACCGTCAACTGCATCGACATTTGGATAGATGACGTTAAGATCAGTCTTATAGATAGGTGCAGATTTTGTTCTTCTATTTCTTTTTGAACGGTCCGCAAAAAGATGCATAATGTGGGAAGTGGTTTTCTTTAGCATGGGGCCCATTTTTTTCAAAGACAACTGAGAAACAGATCGCTCTTTGAAATCGTATTGAGATGGCAAATCAAACTCTTCAAATCCAATTATTTGATGACGACGGGTTGACCCCTCACGAGATTCATGCATGAGAATGCGATATTTATCTTTCAAAGGCATTTCATCAGGTAAGTTTTCCATGCATGATTGACATCGGCGAATACGAAATATAGCATTTTCTAAAACTTTAACAGAAATCTCGGACATGGCTAATGTCTTGGAGTTAATCTCGCTGGTTGATAATATTTCACAGCAGTCTAACATGACGTTTAAGCTACTTTCTCCCATAGCATAAAAAAGACTTTCGATTGGAACTACAGATACAGCATCGGTAAAAAAGTCTTTAATGGATTTCATTTTGATGGAGCTGTGAGTTGTTATTCGTTTTTCGAGTAGAGCACTGAGCAGTGGCGTAGGTAGCGAAAAACATTTGGTCGGGCTCACGAGGCGCCACCATGGTTGGCGCCGAGAGAGAAAATTTTCCGAATTTAGACTCCCTAGAACGTCGGAAACGGCTATCTTTAGAAAGTAGAAGCGTGATATTTATGCAGGAAATAGAACCATTTTGGTTAATTTAAATTGCCGAAGGATCTTATAGTAAAGCAGAGAAACAGTTCAAAAATAGTTGCAGATATGTGATTTATTTTCTCAACACCACATACATAAATAGATACCTATGTACATCTTGTAAAGAAGCTTTGACAAAAGAACCGAAAAAGGTTCAGATTTGTCATCAACAACTATCAAAAGTTGTGATGAAATTGTCGTGCTGAAATGACAATCATCATTGACTGCATTAAAAGTTCAAAAATCTCACATGCCATGGACGTAAGACATCATCAGCTTGCTATCAGCCATATATGAATAACTATTTGTATAAGAAAGCAAGTCTTCGTGGTTTTTCAATGAACTTCTTTACTACCTCATCATGCAATGCGTTGGTGTCTTCTTTCTCTGACAGTATATCTTTGTGAATGGAAATCCTGCAAAGAGAACTAAAACGTCCTTGGCTCATAGTATTTCTAAGATAATTTTTTACCCTCTTCAAACAAGAAAATGACCTCTCAACTGAAGCACTTGTAATTGACAAAACCCCATTTATCTTTAACAGTTTTACAACTTCTGGAATACTAGATTGATAATGCAACTGAAAAATATATTTCAATAATTCATCGCATGAATCACAGTGAAAGTCTTTATCTCTGTAAATAAAACAAAGTTGGCTAACTAGCATTGGTATGTCAAACATATCACCATAAACCTCCTTTAGAAGATTTATCTTTTCTGAGGGCACTTCACCTTTCCACATCTTAAACACCCTAGGTTAACAAGGTCAAAATCTAAAACGCTCCATATCCTGAAATCGCTCAGTCAGCATAGTCACAATTGTGTCAAGAACTTCAAAATACATTTGTTTGTAATTATGCCGTTGGTCATACCTGGTTACTGGTGGTCCCACTTTCTCAACAGCCAGGTCGTACACCTGACAATATTCTGTATCATTTCTCAGAGAAGCAACAAAGGCCTTGAATCTCTCAAACCTACTCATTCCATAATGAAAGTCAGTGTCCTTGTCTGCAAGATAGAATAAAGTATGGATGACTGCTCAAGAATTCTCTGGAAAACATGTACCAAGAAACAAAACAAGAAGCCATTAAGGTAGCCAAGTAAACCAGTAACCTTACTTAACGTTTCATCATCCCAACCTATTGGATTATCAGTAAGATTTTCAAATATGTCTATCAGTTTCTCATAGTTAGAATGCAAGACATTGATGACATGAGCCCTATAATACCATCTTGTGTCACCAGGAGTAGGAAACTCAAGCCTATGGGATGATAGTAAAGCTTTTCTTTAATTGCTAGTAAAGGTGCAGAAAGCACTAATATTAACAAAGAAAATCTTAACAGGTGAGATGGAGGATGCAGCTTGACATAATACTAGATTTAGTCTATGGGCAGCACAGTGAACAAATTGAGCATAAGGATAATCCTGCTGAACTTGAGCTTGAACACCATTGAGATGACCAGACATAACAGATGCACCATCATAAGTCTGTCCAATAAATTTCTCTTTCACATTATTGTATTGACTTAACTCACCCTTAACTACTGATGATATAGCAGTTGCAGTCCTATCACAACTAACATCAACAAACCCAAGCTGTCTTTCAATGACACTTTCCCCTTTGTCCATTTGAACAATTACACTCAATTGTTCTTTGGTAGAAACATCAGTTGCCTCATCAACCTGTATACTTAAGAAAGTGCAGCAATATATTTCCTTTAAAATCTCATCCTCTATTATCTTATCAAGACAATCAATCAAATCATTCTGAATATCAGGGGAGACTCCAGTAAACTGCCTTCCCCCAGCAAGGTGGGTTTCAGCAAGCCTTCCATGTAATCGCCTTTCAAAAACAGAATCCATCTTGGCAAAACTTTCAAGTAGCTCTCTATAATTTCCTCTATTCATGCTGCTACTAGATTCATTATGCCCCCTAAATGCAAGCTCTTGCCTAGACAAGTATAAAACAGCTTCTGTTATGGTTTTCAACATTTCCCTGTTTTGCCTTACCTCCTCGTTATGACGCTGAATCTCTTCACGTCTAGTTTGTGACATGATACAGTCGATACGAGGCTGAAAACCGTAGGTCTTCCAGGTCTTGTAGGCACCCATGTGCGATTTTGCCTTCTCATGCTTCTTACAATCGGATAGGAAATTCTTCATGTTTTTGAATCCCGTCTGCGTCCATGAAGATGACGATCCAGGGCAAAATAAAAGACAAGGCCAACAGAACAATGCATTCTTTTCTGAGCTACCACAAAGCCAATCTTTCTTCGAGTACCAACTTTCCTGAAAGCTTCTATTGCCTGTAGTCGCTTGTAAATTTGGAATTGGCCGCTGCTTTACGAGTATATTTTGCTCGCCTGATTGTCGAACAGAAAAGGGTTTCTTTTGTAGTTCACTTATTATATCGATTTCATTAGCCGAAGCCATTGTAATGTAAGTTATCACGATTTCCGAACGTATATTTCGAAAGCTCAAAATTCAAGTCACGCTTTTGAAAATGAGCCCGACAAGATGTTGTTTAACGTTTGAGTGTGTTCACAGCTACTCTCAACCAATCAGATTACAGATATTCCCACTATAGATTTTATTACTTGGTCGGGCTGAATTTTCAGAGCCCGATTAGATGTTGCGAAACAGCGCATTTGAGTTTGCTCAGTTGCTGTCAACCAATCAGATTGCAGATAATCCCACTATAGATTTTACTATTTGGTCGGGCTGAATTTTCAGAGCCCGACTAAACTGCGTAATGCCTGGCACTAGAAATGCACTAGTCATTGTTGCTAAGTAACGTCTAAAAATATGATAATTTTGCTAATAACGACGCAATTTGACAAATATTACACTAATAGACTGTGGATTATTCCAAAAAGAGTCGCAGAATTTAAAATTTTCGCAAGTCCAATTTTAAAGAAAACAAATTTTTCATTTTTGGGAAAATATTTGGTCGGGCTGGGCCCGACCAGCCAGACCGCTAGCTACGCCACTGGCACTGAGAAAAGCTAGTTCAATTATTTCGCTGGGACGGTGTTTTGCAAGTTGTTGTTGCCTTTGTGCAACAGAGTAGGTCTAGAATTAAAACAATTGAAAAAGTAAAAACAAGCAAATGAAATTTTCTTCTATGGTAAAATAAGATATCAACCAACCGTGGTTTTAGCAGTTACATGGTCAAACGACGGAAGATATTTTGAATTTTCAAAGTGTGTCTTCACTTGAACCCTCACTTCTTTTTCATAATGAACGGTTTTTTCTTTTATTCTTGTCTGAACTTCGGATTCAGAGGATTTAATAACGTCCACTAACATATTTTCACAACAAAATTGTTCACAATAGATCGACAGCTCATATACAAACCACATTCCATTTCCGGATACTTTCACAGCAACATCTTCACCAATGTGTTCGAAATGAACGGTAGATACTTTCGGGCTAACTTCATTTTCTGATGAAATATGATTCATATTTGTCTTGAAAGGCTTCAGATCTCGAAGACTTTGTAGAAAAGCAATCTCTACTTCATGAACGTATCTCTTAAAACTATGCTGCAAGTTGAGAAAGATAATGATCTCATTTAGATAAAAGCAATTATTAAATACTCCTTTCATTTTATGATGACTAATGATTATTATCTCAAATTTATAAATAGTTCAGTCTTTATATACCTTTAGTCATTAATAAGGCATGCAAAATTCTGTCAACAAATATTCAACGAAAGAAACTTGGAAGTTATGAATTATGCCGGAAGATACATGTTTTCAGTATAACTGTTCGTCGCGCTTCCTTTTTTTAAGTACTACCGCAGTCTACCGACTTGATAACTTTATTTTAATAATTTTACAATTAAAATAGTCTTGAAAATTAAACTTTTACTGATTAATTTTGACTCACGTTTATAAAATACTGTTTACGTAAACTCGTGATGCCATCGTTCTCACTTATTCGTAGGTAATCAACAGCTTCTGATGCAGGTAATTTTTTGTACTTTGAACTAGTCGATGTCTTCAAAATGTAATATACTCCAAAAATGTCCAAACGATCGAATCCCATCAAGTGTCCAAAAGGACGAGGAAATTCTTCATTGCCAGTGCCCATATTGAGCATTGACCACCATCTAGATTTCTACGAAAATAACAGAAAACCAAATGTAGACGATAATAGTATAGGCTCGCAAATAAATGAAATTTAAAAAAATGTCTATATAGATGGAAGGTATTAAAGAGAAAACTGCGAAAACCTTGTGCAAAATTTTGTATAAAGTTTATTTTTGGTAGAATCTTACTTCGTTGGAAACACCGTCTGACGTATATTTATAGATGAGTTGACTTGTTTACGTTTAGTTGACAAGCAGGTTAGGTTGAATGCTTTTAGACAACACTAGGAATAATTGTAAACCTCTTCTGGGATTAATCTGCCTGCCAGCAAAACGTAAACAAGGCAAGTCTTCTATTGAAAAAAGCGAATGAAGAAGCTGACTGAATAAATGCCTCCCATATTGTTTTGCAATAATAACATTATGCGACTTCATGCGTTCCTTTATAATGTGAAGAATATACTCCAGAAAAATTTTGTTGTATCGATCATGTGTTGATAAAACAACTACAAGCTCACGTCTTTAGTAAGTATCACGTTTTATTTTATATATATAAAACGCAGTACGCAGTTACTTCTGTTATTGTTCCTGCTAATGCGTTAACCACTGACTTAATTGCTTACACTTGTGGAAGTCTCAAAAAAAAAGCATTTAATTTATAGTTTTTCTTCTAAAGTGGAACAAACAACATGATATTCCGTGACATAGTATTTCAAAACTACAGTCGTTTATTTAACAATTTTATTCCTCCAACGTGTTGAAGTTGGATTACTTTTTTTTGAGACACCCTGCTTGTGTTGTCTGACTACTCAGTTTGCTGCATAAATTAACAAGCATTTTTGATGAAATTATTGACAGTTCGTCGTCTCCCGTGGGAATGGTCTTTCATTTAACTAATGTAAATTACAAAAAAATACTGCTCATAATTTTTGCAGAAATTTAACTCAAAGTTAATGCAAAAATCTATGTGTTCAGGTGTATATATTCTGTAGATGAAAATTTTGCACTCTACAAAAATTAGCAATTGTACCTTAAGTTCCTCAAAGTTGAAAGACTGCTCAATGATAGTTTTCACAATATTCCACAGCTCCTTCTGAAAAAGACAGTAGTTTTTTCATTTATTAAGGATTTCAAGAATTCATACTAGCAGTTCCCATAAAAATAAAAAATGTATATTTTATGTGCAAAAACTATCTACAAGTTAGTCCATGAATTTTTTAGTTTTTAGCATTTTGTGACAATAACTTGTGAATAATTTGTAAAAACTGCTTATAAGAGTTTTTTTCAGTTTGTATTCAGCCCACTTATAACACATGGAATAAAAATGAAGTTCACACTAATCACAGCAAAACTTTACCATATTTATTTCAAACGTGAAAGGGTAGATTTATAAACATTATTGAACATATTCATTTAACTAAGACGTATGAATGCACCTAAATAACGTTATCCAATTACCAAAGGCGCCGGTAAGGAAGGGTAAGAAGGAAGCTGCCCATCAATATTTCTCATACTTAGGTTTTTATATGTAGCTTGACAATGTCGTCATATAAAAGAATGCGTAATGCAGGTAAGTGGCATTTTGGAGGTGTTTTGCATCCCCAAATTAAAATCATCCCGGCACCACTGCAGCCAATTGCACATAAATTTGCTATACTAATCCCTTCAAATTCCCTCGCGTTGTACTGACATCGTTTTTTGGTCTGTTCACAGAAATATTTAAACAAACTTGAGCTGCTTATAAGAAATGTTGACAAAATACTCTTCTTATACCTCCAAATCCGAAGTATTAAACGCTCCAAATAGTTTTGGTATTATATCATCCTTTTGAACGATATGACTGAAACATTCTTTTGCACCAGGTATTGACTCGACATATTTTTTGAACATGCTGTCTGCAATTGGCATAAGACCAAAAGTTATACATTTGAAGCAATCTTTTAAGCGTGATTCGCCATGGGACTTAAATTCCTCCAATAAGAATATCATAACTAAAGATGCAATAGCTCCACCACTTGAATGTCCTAAGAGAATAAAACATAATCATACACTTTTGTGTTGCAGAATGAATTTATTGATGACAATAATTCTGAAAAAAAATTATCTGACAAACTGACATAAGCAACTCAACAGTAATAAACATCAATGAACCCACGACCTGAGAAAACTAATCGTTATTTTTGAATGAATGCCATTGCAAAATACATCAGTGGGATTTTTTCAGCTTCTCTTTTCACCCCTAAAGACAAAAGACAAAAATTGCTAAATAAACTTAATTGGCATAAATGTAGTTGTATTTAAAAAAATAGGTACGTATTGCATACATGTGAATAGCATTGACGTAAAATTAAGCAATATTCGTAAAAAAACTCTATAAAAACATGTTTAGCGAAGTCCCAAGCTCAGTTACTTTCGTAATAGCAATAGTAAAATAATAAGAGTGAGAATAATTATTTTGTATCAAATGCCACAAAATAAAAATTATCGTCTCTTTCTTTAAACTTTCTGTCGTGCAAAATACATTTTATTCGCTGTTTGGTTGTAGAGCGAGGTTTGTACAAAAATACTGAGGTCCAATATTTTTCAGTAAAGACTGAAAAAGCGACGTTATTCAAAGGTTTATTATATAGCATTTTTTGACCAGAAACGAAGCTTGCTTTCTTTCACGTCTTTGCTGTTTTGCGGGTAGGCTTTCACTTTTCAAGTTTTATCAGTAAAAAACAAATCGTTTCAAATTGTATCGTCTGGATGGTCAAATGTAAAAAACTTCGTAAAGCAAACAGTAAAACGCAAAAAAGACGAAACAAAAAACCATTTGCGAATGTGAGTCGAAGAAAAAACACTCGGAAAACAGTTAATTTATCCATACAATACAATTTGAAACGATTTATTTTTTATGGACGGAAACTAAAAAAGTGAAATCCAACCGGTAAAAACAGCAAGGACGAGAAAGAAAGCAACTTCATTTCAGGTCAAATAATGCCATATAATAAACCTTTCAATTACGAAATTTGAGAAATATCGGACCTCTGTCTTTTTGTACAGACCGAGCCCTGTTTTAACTATCATGAGTAAAATAAAGAGCAGATTATGCGTGCAAAAATGCACCGAAAATAGTTGAACTTAAGCAGAATATACTCTATTTTGTGACATAGCATCAAAAATAAATCACGTGCCATACTTGATTTCCACATTTCTGCTATATCGTACTTATTCAGAGATGTTACATCACTTTATTCAATGCACCTTTGCACGCACAGACGAACACATATTAGTATACAACATAGTGGTAAACCAGCGAACAGATTACCACAAAAAATGAGTTAATAATTCACAAATTTTGTTTTGTATTTTGTGCAGCGTTGCCGACTTTTCGGCATTTCATCCCGAGATCTTGTGATTTATGAAAAGAGTTGTGATTCTTTTGGGATTTTTATTTCAAAAGGCAATTGATTCTTCTGGAATTATTATTTCAAAAGGTAGCTAATTGATTTTTTTTTTGATTTTTATTTCAAAAGGTAAAATTCGGGATTGTTTCGAGAATTTTGAGTTTGAAAACTCAGGTTTCGGGAAGTGCCTTTTTTTGTGAAAATTGACTGACTGATAAATGATTTTGCTCAATTTTATGCGGATGATAATTGATCTAAATCCCTCGATAGCTCAACTGGTAGAGTGGCTTATAAGATGGACCACAATTTTGTTGTATGAGATAAAAATCCATGAATTAGAGGAAGTGCACGACTCTTCTCTCTCTTAAGAAGCTTGAGGACTAATCCCCCGACTAAAGTAAGTGAATCGGGATTTTTTAAGGAGCCTCGGAGTATTTCTAAGCTTACTGGCAAGTTCGATTTTTGAGAAATTACAGCTGGCAACACTGATTTTGAGTGTCTTCAGTGGCTGTCATATTGCTGAAAAATATTATTTAAGCTCAGTTGCATGAAAACACACCATAAAAGTTTAATGTTTTTTTATTACAAGCCAGTAAAATATCTAGCACAAGAAAGAACATAAGAAAAGAAAAAGTGACGCTTGAGAGATATCATTCATTGAGATGACGTCGACATGCATTTGTAAAATTTTCTATGCGTGAGTATAGGGGAAAAAAATGAAAATGCACAAGAAAAGTTAAACCTCGATGGCAAGCCTAATTAAGGTAAAACAACAAAAAAAAATGAGCCAAAATAGAAAATTCAGTGTGAGTTGGCTTTCTATAAATATTATGAATTTTATCCGTGAATGTAGAGTTGTTCTTGTGCGAGAACTCATTTTTCAAATAGCCAGAAACATTGCATGTACGCGCGCAATTCTTGATTCATTAAATAGCTACACTTTCATAAAACGACTATTACGATTCTCAATGAACAATGTTACAAAATCAATTTTTAGTTAAAACGTTGATTAAACTCGTGAGGTCGGTTGTCGCATTCAACCTACATTAATTCGATTTCAAACAACTAATACTGTAATACAACAAATCCTTTTGCCGCAGCATTACAGCCATTCCTGTACACTTCTACACTTACATGAATAAATTTCACCTCTATAGTTAGCTTCCAAGCGGGGCCAGGTGTAAGACTGTAGTCTCTTGAAGCTCACATAGATAACATCACCACACTCTGCCATTACATATTTTGGTACATGTTCGTTTTCATAAGAAACATAAACATGGCTAAGCAAATGTTCTTTTGTCATTTTGCACATTTCGTTAAGGTCTTCCATTCTGTGTTCGGGGTCTTTACAGCTGTACGCAAGTTGACAACACAGCAACGAATGGTGAATGTGAATTTCATCGAACAGATTCGTTGCAGATATCCACTCTTCCAGATGAGATTTAGGCTTCTCTTCAAGCTTGTGTTCCATTTCTAGCATATTCTTTAAACTTATAATCTTTTTTCCAATCTGCTCCTTAATTTCGTCGCGAGAAAACCTAAAAATTTCTTCACTAAGTAAAGACTCATCCAGTTTCTCATGTAAATATGAAAGAAACATGTCGCAAGTACTTCCTTTAATGTGCTGTGCGGCTTTAGCATGATTGGAGGCGAAGGAATTTTTCAGAGTTTGCTGAAACGACCCGGCAAATGACATAATCTTTTCGTGAAGTTCCATTTCGTCACGCCAAATCAATCCAAAACGGTTTTCTTTGATCATTTGCAAAGGTTCATCGAAATCTTTCATTGCTGCGTTAAAGACATCATCAAATACTTCGAGGGCAGCTGCATGAATCTCTAGACTAAAACTAAAATTCAAATCTTTGCCATCACTTGATTCGCCTTCCTTCATTGTGAAATCATCAACAAAATTTCAATCTTGCTATATTTTACCGCACAATGTCCGCAGCAAGTTATAGTTTATACAGTGCAATACGAAGCTACGACTCTAATTAAGCTTTCGACTGGTTGCTTCGAGCCTTCGTCAGAATAGGGTAATTAACTGTTTACACGTGCTTTTAGCTTGTAGACGCCTAGAGCGTCTAATTGGATTAGTGGGTGGATTAATGTGATTGGATGGGGTGAAATGCGTTGCCATGGGTTTTGGTGTATTGTGAATATGATCGGTTTTCATTGATCACTTTCAAATCTTCCCGAAAATCCTGTATGGCTTTGTTGTATATATCATCAAATATGGCGCAAGCAGCTTTATTAATATCAAGATTGAGGCCACAAGTCGAATCTTTGTTCACGTCTGACATGTCTTCATCCATTGTGGGACAATGCAAAGTAATTTAATGTTTAGTAATAACAGAATACAGTATAAACTTCCTCCGGATTGTTTTAAAAATTATTTTATTAAGCTTTCGACTGGTTCCTTCGAGCCTTCGTCAGAATGAGGTAAATAACTGTTTACACGTGCTTTTAGCTTGTAGACGCCTAGAGCGTCTAATTGGATTAGTGGGTAGATTAATGTGATTGGATGGGGTGAAATGCGTTGCCATGGGTTTTGGTGTATTGTGAATATGATCGGTGTTAATACCCTGTGGGCTTGGTAGCTCAACAGGTAGAGCGGCGAACTAATATCCCGAAGGTGCGAGTTCAAATCTCGTCCAAGTCACATGTTTTTTTCATGTGCATACTAAAAACCGTGTTAGGATTAATATATAATATATATGTTATAGTTATAAAGCGGAAATATCGACTAGTTATGAATAATTATTTACAGTTGAATGAGGTGTTATAAAATGTTTGTGTTAGGTTATATCACAAAAAAAAAAATTACAAAGAAAATGAAAAGAACGCAAATGAAACAATGCATTTTTTATAGCATTTTCTGAAAATTCGGGGTCTGCAACCGCCATTGGATTACTTTTGCAATCAGACAGTATTTGGCAGCAATCCAGCATTACACATTACACTCTCAACAATAGTATGAAAAAGACTTTCAATTGGCACCACAGACACAGCATCTATTAAAAAGTCTTGGATCGATTTCATTTTAATGGAGTAGTTGGCTTTGTGCGTTTTTTCCAGCAGAGCACTTATATACGCCAATTCAATAACTTCGGAAGGACGAAGTTTAGCAAGTTGTTGTTGTCTTCGAGTAATAGAAAAAGTCTAAAATTAAATTATTTAATGAAGAGGATTAATTGTGTAATCATTTGTCAAGAGATGAAGATGGGGGTGAAATTTCAACCAAGAAATTAATTCATATGGACCAACACTATATGGTAAAGTTGACCAACGCTATTCGGGTTAAATTGATCAACCAGTATTCCTTGTTAAATCAAACCAATTTTAACGTTTTCTACCGTATTAAATATGTGCTTCGCGATTTTCAATTTTTCTTCAACCAGTATCCTGCTTAAGTGATTCTGAAATTACCAGGATTTCAACCCAAACCCTGGTCAATTTCAATTTATCTTATTTTAGGTTCGAATTCATTCAACATATATTTTTGACCAGGATACTTTTATAGCCCGTGCAAATTACTTGATAATTCATGATTTTCACGTACCGTTGTCTTTGCAGGAACAGTAAATGACTCAAGATAATTGGACTTTTCGAAATGTGTCTTCATCCGAACACAAACGTTTTCTTCGTAGGTGATGCTCTTTTTCTTTATTCTTGTTTGAACTTGAGAACCAGATGATATAACGAAGTCCACAGGCAAATTTTTACCATCAAAATCAACTGTTGTGACAGACATCTGGTGTCGTTACCAGATACCTTAATGACAACCTCTTCACCGATATTTTCGAAATGAACACCAGATATTTTTAGGATGATTTCATTGACGTCGATAGTATTGTTGCTTGTCCGTTTGAAACAGGCTAGGTCAGGAAGCTGACCTCTGACAAAAGCCAGTTCAACTTCGTGCACGTACCTTTGAAGTCTATGCTGTCGAAAAAGTAAATCAAAATTTTCCTTAATGCACTTCAGAAATCAAGCCATGACGAGCAGTATTGCTGATTAATTCCTTATATTCCTCATTAAACTTTCTAATTGCAAGTGCATGGATGAGTTTGTTATGTTGAATTGCAGCATATTGATAATCATATCCCCAAATATATGGCTTAAACATTATCAATAACTTACATTACATTAAATTAATCATACGTAACTTACGTTAATAACATATTGCCGATATATGCTCAGAATGCTATCGTAATTGCAGATGGTTAAGTGAACTTTAGCCTCTGACGCAGTCGAAACCTCAAACTTTGATCCAGTGGACTTTTTTTCAAGGATATAATAAATTCCAAAAATACTCAAGCGATCGAAGCCAGTTAAATTTCTCAGAACAGGACTTGCACGCTTTGCTTTCTCAACAATCTTTTTAAAAAACATTTTAACATAGGAAAAAGAGTCCTAAAAAATTTAAAAAATTCAAGTAGTTGGATGAATTTTACACACATTATTACATGCAAATATTGATCCCAGCAAACGAAACTGAACATTCAAAAAGACAAGTCTAAAGATCGGCAATGCATTTTGAAAAATTTCCAAACAGTTAGAGACGTATTGAGTGTTGAAAAAATTTGGGTAAATGGGGTACACTCCTAACTCCTATTTGTTGATGAAATTGTGTCTAACATAAAGTTTTTGAGTCAAACTGAAGAGCTGAGTTTACGTTGAACTGCAGCTAGCTACATATAAAATTTTTGTGTTGCTTTTCTCACTGTTGTTACAAATAGAATCGTATAAATAATATGAATCAAATTGTTTATTTGCAAAACTTCAAATTCTCAAAATTGATTGCTTAGATACAATGATGCTTATTTGCAAAGAAACATTTGCGGAGTTTGACTGAATGCGAAAATGCCCAACTTGTATGAGCAAAAAGTAGCCATTGAGCATTTTCTTCAAAAACTGAAAATTGTGTGGAAATAAAATCATGAGATATCACCTCTAATTTAAAAATATTTTCGTCAAGAGGAAATGCTTTTATATCTCACATCCCTTTTGACTTGGTAACAGAAATACTTTTAAAAATGGTAAAAAAGATTGATGACAGAGGTAGTAAAATAAGTCAAATTAGAAACCTAAATGCTGTTTCACTGAGCTCAACGGCCAACTGCTTTTACTGCAGATCTCTAACCATATAGCAGTTCTCTAGAATTGGAAATGATCATTTATACCTTCGACATCATAAAGTTTTTTATTGTTTTTACAGGGGTGTACAAAATAGTAGCCTCTTATGTAAAATTATCGTCATAGGTTGGTATATAGCTTGTCATTCTCAGAAAAATGTTATAGAAATGAAAGCTTACTTTTAAAAAATATATGAAACAAAAATGTAATGTTGAGCAACTATATCACTTTAATCACGCAATTAATAATAATCTGGGTATTTCATGGTAAAACACAATTGCTATATGCGCGTATCCTTCTGTAAAAATACAGTTGAATAAAAGGTGTATTAATTCATCGCTAGTGAAATAATCTCTAGTGTTTAAGAGAAGTGTGCCTACTACAAGCATTTTATTATTTTTGCAATAAAATGTTCTTATAGCTTTCGTTTCTAAGATTATGCACATATCAAAGCTTTGACATAAATGTCTAGCCCACTAAAGTTTTTTTTTTGATTAGATTTTACATAACCCACAATAATGAATTTCCCAAAAAGTCTCGTTAGCTTCGCCCTAATAGATATATTCTTAGAATGGCAACTATTGGTTATTGCAACGTCTGGATTTTTTAAAATATTGATTAAACCTAAAAAATTTTTTCATCATGATGTTTTGTTTGATGTTTCTATCTGTTAACATTATTTGATTCCTCTAAAATGACACATTTTCTGAGTTTTTCAATAATAAGAGTCAAATCCAAGGAAGTTGGATTAAACTAACCACTCACTTACCAGGAATTGAAGCAAGACTTTGGTTTGAGGGTTAAAGTTTATAGAAAACTTGACCTGAATATAGACGACTTATGTTTATTATTGTGATAGCAATTTGGAAAAACTTACATCAAGTGTATCAATAGACTCTTGGATGACTCTCTCAACAAAATCCCATAACAGATTCTGTAAATAAAATGCAATTAGCTATTATTCTTTGCAAGTCAACAAATATATATTATATACATGAATTGCTCGTTATCATTTGCAGACATGCACTTACAATGCAAGTATTTTATTAAAAAGAAATGCACATAATTTGATATGCAGGCACAAAGAACAATCAATAATTTTCTGGGCTATTCTTTAAACTAATCATATAAAGATGAGAAAAAAAGTTAAAAAAGTCATACCGCAAGTTGAGTACCATTAAAAGTGCCAAATAGTTTTGGAATAACATCATCAGCTTGGACAATGTTAAAGAAACAATCCTTTGCTCCGGGAGTTGAATCCACATATTGTGTTACATTACTGTCACCCACAGGCAATAAGCCAAACGTGAGAGATTTAAAACAAGATTTTAAATATGATTCATCTTGTTGTTTGAATTCTTCCAGTAAAAAAATCAATACTAAAGATGCAATTGCTTCACCACTGGAATGTCCTATAAATGACAGAATAAAAAAAACATTTGCACATATTATTTAAAAAAGTCAAGACTAGTGCTAACCCCCAAATTCAATGGCAAACCAAAAGCTCAATCTCCCACTAAAGGGCAGGATATGGAGTTTAGAAAGCCATTGTCCATTAGCCATAGTTGGACTTACTAAATTTACAAGAGTTTGGGGCTTCGAGCCCGAAAGAAATAAAGCAAGATGAATAATAGCTTGATGCAAAAGTTACATAAAGTACAACAAAAGTGGGAAACAACTGTGGGAAAATGACAAAGCATAGTTATTGATACAAAGTGACATAAGGTATATGATTTAAATGAATGCAAGGATATTGAGTTCAAAAGTAAAAATGAAGAAAAGGAGAGAGAAAAAACTATGAATTTTGAAAAAAATCTGAATTAC